AATTATATTGGTTTTTTTTAAACGTATCCCCACACTAGGATTTTCTCCTGTGTCGTGGGTGCGTTTACAAACATACAAGTTCACATACACATGACACCCAGACCCGAAACAACAATTTGTGGATCACACAAAGTGTTGTTCCGTGCGGGAATCGAACCCGCGACACGTAGCACGGCAGCCGGTTGCCCAGCCACCGCGCCAAACGTGCAGTCGAGTTATTGGTCGCGTTACGAACCAGAAATCGGATATCAGGCGTCCACGAATTCGCTGACCTAGGCAATGAATTATTGAAGTTCATATTAATTAGCGGACTTATTAGAAGGGTAATAATTGTTCAAAACGTTCCTATTTAACCGATCAATCGCTGATAGTTCTAATTGAACAATACTTCCTTCCTTATAATCGGAGCGTAACTAGTCTTACAACCAGTCAAGATGTAATTAAATTATGATTATTGCTATTTAATATATTATATCTATCCATTCATAGAAACGATTCTTTCATTGAAAAACATTCATCATTGATCATTTTCAATTGTTGTTTCATAAGAAACATTTGATTTCTTGAATGCTCTTGGAACTGGAAGCGAATACATTGAGGTTCAATAAAAATACTTGTAACAGTTGTAACTATTTATTCGTGATTCAACTTTTCTAGTTATTATATCTAGTGCAAGTACCTATACCTATGTCAAGTTATAAGATTTATGATAGAAATAATGTAAGTAATCTCAGGTTGATATCACATCACTATCACATGGGACTCATAACATAAATAGTGAAAAGTGGGTGTTACGTTGTACAGTGGCATAATGTGCACCTCTGCCTACCCCTTCGGGGATAAAAAGCGTGATGTTATATTAAGTTATGATATCATAGGACAATCCAAAAATTCTTTAATTTATTGCACTCGAGTTGTCCTTGACAATTAAAACATAGTCTACTCGATAACAAACTCGAAGATACCAGGGGGCTTAGACAAAGTAACAATTTAAAAACGATAACGAAGTTAGTTAAGACTAAAATGTATGGGATTGACATAGGCCGCGTTAAGTCACGTGGTCAATCGACATCGTTATCGCAATTTGGTAGACAATGTTATATTTCATAACGAAACTATAAAGTAACGAATCGTTATCGTGTTTATTCCATACAAATTCGTAGACAAGCAGACGTTTCAGTGTTCGCCAACGCCTCGATCGTGATCGCCATAAACGATAACGAAACGAATGCTAAAAGGTTGTAGTTATTGAAACAATATGGCCGAATTTCATTATTGATCCTGTTATTATTTATTTTGTGTTAGAGGCAATACACTAATACAGATCAAATAGATTTAAAAATGCAATATCTGCGTTTATTGTGGGCTGCACACAATGAGACCGACTGGGAGAGACGCCAAAAATGGTTAAGACAGCGACGGTTCAATATAGGTACTTCATTGTTAAGATCGCGTCATTGTTTACATTACATACTCATGAATGAAACTTAGATTTACTTACGTTTCCATATACTCGAGCAGCGTTGCGAATTGTTCAGGACTTGCTCGCACTCTTGATTCCATGTTTTATCACTAAATATTAAAATAGATAAGAAATAGAGAGAGATCCATCATCGTTTGAACACCAGTCACTTATAAAAATGAGTCTATTTTGATTATCATTAAGTTTTGGAAACGATCTAAAAGTAATAACACTCAATTCACTTACGACTGTAAAATTATCGTTTATATTTAACTTAAAAACAATTAAACGCAACACTCACTTTCTTATTAATAAAGTTTTAAAACATCAATATCTCGCGAGTTTGATCCGATTTGAACATTTTGACTGTCACTGACAGCTGGATTTTCGATACCATAACCAATATTTTTGTTTTTTGCCGAATAAAGAATTCGACACAACGATCACGACCATAGTGTTACATTGGCTAGGAAATGTTTATCGTTATCTCAGAGACGATGGCGAATTTACTTTTCGTTTCGCTATTAAGCGATGTTACTTTGTCTAAGGACCCAGTACCTTTAGCCAAACGCCACTTTAGCGCTTGTCTACGGAGAGAGCAGAAATCAAAATGTATGGGGATGACACTGGCAAGTGTTAAAATTTACGTCAAATTCATATAATTTGGTTTTCTATTCTACATGTAGACAAGCGCTAAATGGCATTTGGCTGCAGCTGCTGAATAGCAGTCGCACTAGGAACTTATTATCATACCGCGAAGTATTAATTTTAATTGTTCTATACTAATGACAGCTCGCTATCATTATCGCCTGCACTCACGACATCTTTTTACACTACACATTCTAACATCTACTTTAAAACTTACCAGCTTAAGGTTCAAATTCACAAGCAAAAGTTACTGTGTACTTTGTATATTGGCTTTGAACAAAAACGCTTGTATCACTGTCATTACAAGTTGTCGTGAGGTCTATCTAGTTATATAGTGTGTGTTGTCGCCTGTGTATCATTTTTTACTTGGCTAACTAACCGAAGATCTAGGCCTCAATGTACTACATCATCATCATTCATCATTTCACTATCTGGCCGTGATCTGACTCTCTTGTCACTGTGTCAGATTGAGTGTCGCTACCATGGCGTCCTGGCTTAGTGTGCCTAATATTTGAAACTGTTATTTAAAGTAGTTGATGATATCTTACCTTTTCAGCACTACATAGATAGTATAAAACAAAGTCGCTATCCGCCGTCTGTCTGTTCCTATGTATGTCGTCGTCTTTAAAACTACGCAACGGATTTTGATGCGTTTTTTTTTTAATAGATAGAGCGTTCTTTAGAAACTTTTATATGTATGTATAATACATGCATATTGCACCCGTGCGAAACCGGAGCGGGTCTCTAGTTTATAATAAAATAACTTTAGTTTACGTCTCTCTACATTTATTAGGGACCATCCATAAATTACGTCACATGTTAAGGGGAGGGAGGGGTTCGAAGAAGTGTGACATTTGTGACAAGGAGGCGGGATGGATTCTAAACTTGGTGGTGCTACTGTTATCTGTATGAAAACACGAACTTAACTATTAATTTGCGCAAAACTCAAAAACAGATCTACGCACCTACAACTCTGTTTAAATATAAGATACACAATTTTATTTTTCATTCAGTAATTTCTACAATGTTTTGCAACATGTGACGTCATACTAGGGAGAAGGGTAGTAGTAGGGTGTATTCACAAACGTGAAAAAGGACCAGCTGTAACAAGAACGGGGGGAGGAGGGATGACCCCTTACCTTGGACTTATAGTTTATTAATGCGCGTTGTCAATTGGAACCAAGCAAAATGCAACAAATATAATAATGTATCATCATTAAACGCATATAAACAGTGCCTTTAGCCAAACGCCACTTTAGCGCTTGTCTACAAAGAGAGTAGAAATCAAAATGTAAGGGGATAACATTGACAAGTGTCAAAATTTACGTCAATCCCATATAATTTAGTTTTCTATTCTACATGTAGACAAGCATTAAATCGCATTTGGCTACAGCTGCAACTTAATCCTTCCTCATTGTAAACCCGATTCCACGATGCAGTAAGAATAATATGTAGAAATTGAATAACTTAATACCTATTTGAACGTCTGAACAACAGACAGTTATATGTTTAACATTTTAATATATGCAAATTTATATTTAAACAGTAGGTGTCTAGGTAATAAACATATTAAGTAGTTGTTGATACAAATGTGTTAAAATACAAAAGACATAAGAAACTTATACTTTCTATGTGTTGTCACAAGCATCGTGTACATACGTTCTCTACATTATCTGACACATCGCCATAACTATGGGAAATATTATACAAAGTACAAAAGAATATTGTACTGTCAAAGTTGTTGTACACATGGCTACATATCGAGCTTTACATAACCAGTATAAACTGAACGTTAAATGTGCAGAAAGATGATGCGACGCGACACCAGGATAAACTGGTTTTGTATAGATTGATGTGTGGCCGTGTGTACTTACACAAGTATGTTTTATCGTTAAGGAAAATACCTATAAGATATGATTAAATGTCTCAGACTGCGAGACTGTGTAGGTTAGGTCGTTACTGACATTAGATGTCAGCCATATTAATTAGTATGCAGGGTCGAAAATAAAGATTAATTCAGTACAGAGACTGTAGAATAATTAGGTTCTTAACTGTATTCAATTTAAACACAGTTTACAATTACAATTCTAACACGGTCAATGTAATTTTTGACGTTTTAAAAATGCCTAATTAAGCATTAATTGAAATAAATGCTTCGATATTGACTTTATTGTTATAAAAAGCTGTAGGTATTTTTATAACCAATAGCATTCAAAAATGTCTGTATGTGTCTCTGAATCAATCTTTAACCTGCATACCAAATATATTTACTTAGCCTAGTGTAACAATGTATTTAATGTAATAAAATTATTTATATAACAGTCTCTTTTACGACCTAGGTCTGGTTGTAAGATTAGAATACTTTATGTCAAGTAAAATTGCGTATATAATACTTTTTGATACGATTAACACGTTAATACCTACTTCTTTTATACGTTCTTCATGGTCGAAGTCGAACCTGCAGCTGTAGACAAATGCCATTTAGCGCTTGTCTACATGTAGAATAGAAAACCAAATTATATGGAAATGACGTAAACTTTGACACTTGTCAGTGTCGTCCCCATACATTTTGATTTCTACTCTTTCTGTAGATAAGCGCTAAAGTGGCGTTTAGCTAAAGGCCCCTGGGTTTTTTGAATACGTATACTTTGGAAGCGAATATCCATAACAGTTGCAAGTATTATATAGACATCCTTATCTAGAAATTTAGTACTTGGTTCATTAATTTTATCAAACAAACAGGAAATCGGTAAATTAAGCTTTGTGGTAATCCTATACATTATTCGGCAAACTTGCCCCGACAATGGTGATTGGCTAACGTACCTAGTATTTAAAAATATTTTTTGTCCCTATTTTTTTTAATTAACTATTATTCTGAATTTCTTTGCAGGCTCAAAATGGTTTCGATGAGCTCCGTCGCTATGTAAAGCAGGGAAGCGACTTCAGCAAAGAACTATCATCCATATTGCAAGAGAGGTAAGATTCTATATTCAATGTTGAACAGTTTAACAATTTGTATATATTTTGTTTAATAAAACAGCTTCGTTGTTGCGTTATGTAAGTCAGTCTTCGGTCATTTGGACTTAAAACGATCTTTCGTGTTGGATAATCAACGTACGTTCTTACAATGTGATAAGGCTACGCAATGTTTGTTTTTGACCCTCAATCTCTAAATAAACAAATAATAAACCTTAAGATAACAGTGAATGTAAGTTTACGTACATACCGCATAACAATGTCCATTATAACGGCACTATCACTTTTTCTAATAACTGGTAAAATTGTTACGCATCATTCGGTCAGGCCGCGCTCGGCGCGCGCAGCCTCAATGCAAGTCGTGCACGCACCAGATTAACAATCTTATCGACAGTTCTTCGCAACGTTTACTTTCCAGACAATTCTATAAAACAATACGTTATTGTTTACGAGCAAATCGCTCGAGCGATCCTGCGTTCCACGTGCGGTCAGACAACAGTCGGCACAGGCGCAGGGACAATACGAAAGTCTCGTCATGGTGAATTGATATTATATTGTTCACACGCACGCGTGTAGCTTTCCCCGCGATATACAGATATCGAGCACGTCATACAATATTGTTGCATACGAAAGTAAGGGCACGGCAATGGCCACAAAAACAAAAATAGCTCGTCGCGAGGTTCTGCTAAGTGGGCCAAGACGCGAGACACAAATAACGCGCGCTAAAAATTGAAATCCTCCCATTGGCCGAGAATGCATTATCACTGCTTTTACACAACCACAAAGACGGGCAGACATAAAAACAAATCATTACGACACCGCGATTATTTCCTACGAACGTTCGCTTCCGTCACAGATTGTGAAACACCGTTGACTATCCGTACTCATGTACTATATCGATTATTTGTAGAATTGAAGCAGAAATATACTACGCAAAGTGCTTGGCTAAACTTGGGACGAAGCTGACGAAGGCTTGCAAGGAGAGCGTCGGCTCGTGCGCCGAGGCATGGAAACATGTCGCACTCGAGATGGAGAAACGGTCGGAAATTCACAGGTAAATGGCAGCGACTCAGGATACTTAAACAGCTGGCTGTTACACAAATACTTTGAACGTTAGTAACGCTATCACTTGCTCTATTTCAGAAATTACTCAAGTGCTTTATCCGACGAGCTAGTGAAACCAATGAAACATGTAATCGACAATCAATTGAAACTTAGGAAGAAGGTGAGTTGCTCAATACAATCGAAATGGTCATTAAAAACGAACGACAAAAGATAAAAGAAAATCCATTGTTAATCTACTTATAATTACAGATCGAAGGTAACGTTGACAAGACTACGCGATCTCTCGGAGAATGGAGAACAGCGGAGGCAAAGTCTAAGAAACATTCCCACACGGCGGCGCGGGAGAACGAAAAGTTACAGGACGCCTCGTTGGAGATTAGGTCTGCTTCTTGCGATATACTTGACGTTGTTAATGTCCTGTTTTTGTTTGAACTAGTAGTCTGTCGGGACATTACTTCGCTCAAGTCATTATTAGAAGGATCCTTCGTTTTTTGCAGTTGCGAATTGCTTGGCGACTGTTTGTATTGCGAATGTTGCGTGAGGGAGCATTTAGAATGAGTCACTAGCTCCCGTGTTTGTTTACAGCCGTCTGTCGCGTAGTTCGAGCGTGGGACACATACCACATGCGCACTCTATCCTGAGCGCGGCACGGGCAGAGCGGCTGCCAAATGCGACGAGCGAGAAGGACGCAGCTAAACTTCAGGTCAAGAAAAGGAAGACGGAAGATGCTGTGAAAAAAACTGAAGTTGAATATTATAATGTGTGCGTGCACGCCGAACGGGCTAGGTAAAGCATTACGTTAACATATTGAACAATAACACATACCAGAGCTTCGTTGACTTTCTAAATTACATGAACTGTATCCTCATGTTCCAGGTTGGAATGGGAGTCAAGCGTAGTGAAGGGAGCTGGCATGCTGGAGTCTCTTGAGGAAGAGAGACTAGCCCAGCTCAAGACAGCTGCTGATTGCTACCTCAGGCTGACATCCGCCGTGCCTGCACAATTAGCGGAGGTAATTAACATGTTTTTATACCTGTTCATGATATAATCAAGTAAACAGTACCTAGTTTTTTATCACCTTTACATTCTGTTTTTTAATATCCTTGTAGAAACAGATTTACATTAATGATTTATTTGTTTGATGAGTGCACTTATGATAACACATGTTTAATCCGGCAACCATACATTATTAGCCGGAATATTTTGATAATTGATTTATGCGTTAAAAGTGAATAATATGATCTAGCTTTATTACCTGCTAAAAGCCAAGCTAAGTCATCTGAACCTATAAAAGCCTTAGTTATTAGACAGAGGTGCAGCAATAGATGAAGGCGCCATAAACTAACATTGATACTTTAGCATTTACTAGCAAACCCGGCGAACTCCGTTTCGCCACCAGATGGCTTCGTTTTATGTAACATTTCGTTTAGTGATTAAAATTGAATTTTCTTTGCTATAAACCGCAAGGAGCCCGAGACCTTTCCAACGAATGCAAAACCGTGGAAATCGGCTTGTGCGTTCTGGAGTTATATCGTCAGGAAGGAAAACCCGACTTATTTTTATATAATAACTAGATTACACTAAGGAAACCTACACCCACACATCACAATGAAATCGATCATATTTTGAAACAGTCTTCACCTATCTCTTTGTTTGTCATCAGGCCACAAATATTTTGGTGAATCCGATAAAGAATGCGAACGCCAACACTGACATGAGAGTAGTTCGTGGAGTCCGTTCAGCACAGACTGGAGCTAGTGAGCAACTGCTGCCAGACTTCTACTGCGAACATACCACGCTTGCTATGAACAAGGAACGACGTAAGCAGGTAAGCTTGCAGTTATTCAATGAAAGAAAGAAAGAGAGAAAAAACATTTATTCGACAGTAGGCACGCACAAAGATACAAAAATAAAAAAGAAAAGAACAAATAAATACACATATTTATATAAGATAGATATGTGTCAATGCTTAGTATCATTTGTAACCGGCCCGTTATATGTCATTGTCTCCTATTTTTTTTAAACATATTGTACCAAAGAGCTAGACAGAAACTGCGAAACGCTGCTTACTTATATGATATATAAATATACCACCCAACAGCAGATAGTCATCCAACTACTGAACCAGTAACATTTATCATTTGATTAAGCAATAGGATAGTCTGCGACAATAGAATTTTCATATCGTTTTGTGAAACTGCACATGAAGGATAAGGTATTGCCAAAGTTTCAAGGTAATTGGGTGAGCAATGAACTTACCTAACTACCTATAATTAAATAGACTGAAATAAGAAGCGTTGACTGCTAACAAAGACAGCAAGAGTTCACGAATTTTGCTCCACCGAAAGGGAAAGATGTCAAAATAAATCTCTATTCATTATCAGTTTTCACCAAGAATTTTAGAAGTCCCATGTAATAAGCGGTCCTTTAACCCTTACCCCATTGGCGTTGGCTCAATGTCTCAGCAAAAATCCACGAAAGAAGATGAATACACAGAATTTGGAAACTAGGGCCGAATAGTCCATCCCGAAAATGATAAAGTCCACAAAGTTCAAACACTTAAAGATTATATTTCTGTTTCAGGCACTGCTAAAGATCCTGCAGTTAGTAAAACAAGACATTGACAGGGAAAGGAAATCCAAGCAGGGGCTTGAGAAACTGTCGATGGCCATCAAGCAGACACCCACTTTTGGAAATGACGATTCACAACAAAATGTGGCTGACAAACTGTACCATGTAAGTAATATCATGACAATGCCTGCAATAATTTTCGAAGGATAAGACAATATACTTACATTAGATAATATACGAGAATTATTAGGATGTCATTAGCGTAACAACAACTGGCCTAAAGCTAAGCATTATTGTTAAATTTCAATCTACAAATTAGGCTTCTTGGTTGTAAACTTAGTCATTCACTTATTGATTCAACTGAACCTTTGATCCATGGAAAGAAACAACTCGCAAATGCCAGGACAGACAGGCAGGCATAGGCATCAGTAGGTACATATCTCAAGTCTACACTGAAATGAGCACCACTCCAGGATGAACAGACAGAGTCCTGCTTCAGATTATACTGGCTCCTTACACGACTCGCCTTTTTGTTTATTGTCGATGGACTCTATATGGATGGATACTTAGGTATCAGATCATGATTTTTCCAGCCAGTTAATCATTCTCATGTTGTTTCAGATGAGAAGTATGCTGACATATTTGGAGGCAGTGAGGTATAAAATAACGGCTAGTCTTAACGAGCTGGACAATAGACCGCCGGTACAGCATCCACTGGCAGCACACATACAGATCATAAGGGACAAACAAGGACTGCAGCAAAGTATACTAAAGGTATGTTATTCGATAACGTAATCATTTATTTACCTGGGCCTTGTGTGCAAACTGAGGATACTAAATATTCATTAAAAAAATAGAAAGTTCTTCTCTTTATGATTTTGATGGTAATCTGCTCATTTGAGCTCTCAGGTCGAATTTGTCGGACATTAGAGTCTAATTTTCATCAAATATCATGAAAGGCGAGGAAATTGAATAGATGACGTAAGCTAAATCAAATTTAAATGATGTACTTATGTATTAGTATTCAAAACTATTATCTTTTCCTTGAAACTGTTCAACCGATGTTCGTTGACAAATTGTCAAGTTTTAGTTTGCTTATCCATAAATGATTATGATTAAGTACCAGAAATAAATACTTACATACAACTTTTGTTTACAGGTACCACCATGGCTTCAAGCCGACTACCAAAATGAGGTGAACAAAAACCTGACACCAAATTACACGGCTTTGACGAAGAGCGTAAATGGTGGAGAGGAGAGGGAGCGGAGAGACTCCATCATGAGCAGAGCCTCTAGTAAATTGAGGATAGAACACCTCTCATTTAGGAGGAACACAGACAACAAGAGTGCACCAGTTACACCAGTTGTTGACATCCCCACGCCCCCGCTCCAGAAACAGACTGTGGAAACACCAAACCCACCTGAAAGTCCACTAGATTGGAGCGAGCGTGGTGCTGGTGATGGTCTGTCCAACCAACAAGATAGTGACTTTGGTATGTGGTTGTCTTAACTGTTTCTTCTTTCGCTCTTTACCGTAATAGATGACTAATCGTAGGTAGTATGTCGATTTCCGATGATATGCATGATTAATTTTCCAATGAACAGTTCATTTATCGTGTTCCGTGTCACCGAGAGGTATAGGCAAAAATGAATTCATTCGACAAACTACGCTATCCATCTTCGTATAGGTATAAGGTAGGTAATGCTTGTCTGTAGGTGACCTCTGCGGCACTAGTGTTAGTGTCTGTGCTGTCAATGCGCGTAGTGGTTCGTAGTCCTAGTAGCACGGTTATAGGTAATTCGATCAACCATTTGTTGTTGGCGGCGAGTTGAGTCATGAGCGCGGCTTTCAATGTACGATGCACGCGTTCTACGATCCCGTTACTCTACGTGCAGTAGTACGGGCAGTAGTACCTTCCACTCCCAGTAGCTGAGCGAGATTTTTAAATAAGCTGCTCTCGAACTGTCGTCCTTGAATCAGTTGCGATTTTAATAGTACAAACAATGCGTGAAATCAATGCTTCATACAGTTTTCTTGCGACGACTTCGGCTGATATCTCTTGCAGGCTTCTGCCCAGCGTGTGGGACGTGTGCATCGTTGTGCCTCCTTCCCGAACTTGCGATGGTAGTAGCAAATTCCAGTTGATTCTGTGCTGCGTGAAGTGTTTTCAGTCCACGTAGCACGTGTTTTCATGGTTGTATCTACTGTAGATCCTGGCTTACAGGAGTTGCAGCGGTTTTGGGAGGTTGTGGCGGGCTTGTCCCATTTAAAACAAAAAAAAAAGTCCACGTAGCACATGCATATCGCAGCCAATATAGTCTCCACGGTGGACGGTGGAGACGATATCGGCTCGATGATCTGTTCTAAGATCATCTCGATGATTAGACTGAGCTGCTGTAAGTTGATGTTGTTGCTGTTGTTCTTGATAATGGAGAATTGAAACCGTAGGTAATTGTATTTGGTTCGGTTAAAGTATTCAGTGATATCGGTAAGGTATATGGTACCCGTATGTAGTCGTGCGGTGTGTCTACGCCACAAAACAGAAAATGTTTCATTCCATCTGTTGGCTATGGTTAGTTTCGAAGTTTTGAGCACATATTTCGTAGTAGGTACTGTAACAATTATTTCTCATTCCTGTATTAACCTTAACATAAATGTTTTCAGACGAGTTTTCATCACAAAGTGATAGCTCGACGGATTTGACTGATATTATGAAGAATGAGAACGGGGACACGGTGCCACAGACGCCGTCGTTGGGCAAATGCCGAGCGCTGTACACTTACGAGGCGAGACTTAATGACGAACTTAATTTGACTCCAGGTAAATTACACATTTAATTCGTTGCTATATACCTACGTATTATCATGTAACTTGCAGTCCGCAGTATATTTAACATATCTCGAAAAAATTTCAAAGGTTTTTAGGGAGAGAACGTAGGACATAAAACTCAGCATCTATAAAGAAGTACCAGGTTCTCTAAATAGACTAGCTCCGAAGTCCTATATATTACATATTGCAACGACTGTCACCTTCCTAGGATATCTAGCTAGCGCCTTTTCTAAAATGAGCTCCTATTGCTGCCTTCCTACCTAGGCTTTTGTCGCATTCTCTCATGGAGGCAACTTCAGAATGAATCATTTTACCGACCTTGGTGCAGGATTTAATAGTTTTTAATGTAACTACAACGTGTTTATAGATATCATAAAATATGAAGAAAGTCACAGTTAATTAAATGTTGTTTTTAATGTATATTTTATGGCTCATAAATAGATGTTCTTGATCTTAAAGGCAGGACTGCGGCAATAATTTCCTGGGCGTTCTGTTCTGGTTTGCATACTCGTAAATCGTATTTTTGACATTTGGAAAGCACAACTTACCATCGATACTTGAGCTGTCTGAGTGTTTCTGTTTAATGAACCATAAAACTTTATGGATGTGCTGATTTTTCTTGGCATTTTAATATGTATAATTACAGATACTTACTCTCTCTTTTCGTGAAGACCTTTCCTATTCCCATAGGCTTCTTAGCTGCCTTGTATTTTTTTATGAACACAGCGAATAGTAACATATTCCTACCTGATTATGATTCTTACTAGATCTCAAAATATTGATTTGATTGATTTTTGACGTCGAGTCAATAGAGTAGATTGTAGATAAACAGTGCATAAAGCTTAAATTACACATGGGAAGAATAGACTGGTTAATTTCATTATGTGATAAATTGCTTGGCGAATTTTTTATCATCGATTATCAAGAATTCTATGTAGACCATCATGTTTTCCACAAGCATTGACATACACATATAAACTCAATGCCCACAAGTTTGTTTAAATGGAAAATAACTAGTAGGTTATACTAAAAGCGAGTTACCCATATTTTCCCTCACCATTCTCCCAAATTGTATGCCTCTAACATGTGGGCTTTAGTTGAAACTCTGAATTTGTAATCATTTGCAGGAGACATAATAAATATACACGAGAAACAAGCCGATGGGTGGTGGAGCGGAGACTTGAACGGCATCTATGGAATTTTCCCTTCATCCTATGTGGAAGAAATTACCACTTGCATATAAGTATACTTACAAAAAACTGACCAAGAGGATCACATAAGTAATACAAAAATGGGTAAAAAATTAACAGACTACAAAAAGATTTCTCGTGTTTGTGACATTAAATAAAAAAGTATTGTATTTGACTACTTTCTCGTCATTTTAATAAACGTCAAATCATACCCTTTTATCATCTGTGAATACTGGATTTTGATTGCAAACAAGTGAAATTTCTGGTTGTTGTTGTTGTTGATTCGCGTTGTGCAATTATTGTATTTAATTGAATTATTGTATTAGTATAATGACTTCAATTGATAATTATCTCAAAAGTTATCCATAAAAATTGTGGAGATATTATTTGGGTAGGTACCTACCCAAAAATGTGTTTACCTACCTACCTGTCAATAATAAAATGATATAATTTCTTTGAGGTTTATGTAGGTCTCTCTTTGAGAGAATGATATCTGTGCAATTTTTATACTAGAAGTGATGTTGCATAAACACTGACCTCTATATAGTATTATAAAGGTCAGTGTGCATAAATAAATGAATGGAAAGAATACGAATAAAATTAAAAATAAAAGATTATTTAACAAAATTGTAAATGGAACTATGTATTAAAGAAATTATAATTATAGCTGAATTTTGTAAGAAAAAGTCGCGCAAACCAATTGTTTTTTTTTATTTTGATTGGTAATAGGTAAGTGTAATAAGTGTCTTGTATAAAGTTTTAATATTGATAAAGAGTTGATTCTAGTGATATTACATAAAATTAATTATGTTTGGGATCGTTCATCGAGGTGTGTAGGTACCTACTGTGGAAGAAATAGTTACACCGTGAAGGAGTATTTTCAATATTTACTTGATTTATCTGGGCATCTTTTTGGGAAGACCATGCGCAAAATAGTGTGCGGATGCACGTGGTTTGCATCGCTTAATTTGTGCGCTTCTTAATTCTATAGAGGGCGTTGTAAATAGCGTAGTTTGACCATAAAAAGGTTTGTAACAATTACGTGGAAATAAAGGGCACTGAATTTATGAATGTTAGGTACCTACACGGAATATTTATCGTTTTTATTTATCCTTACCGATACAAGACACCATAGAAAATTCATATAAGTAGGTAAATAAGTATTATAAATGTAAAGAGTATCGTGTTAAATGTATTATAAGTATTACGTACTGTACCTAGTTTGTAAGTTAATGTAACATTTTCAACTGAACATGTAAATTATACGACATATTATAAAATTAAACCAAAGTGTTGTTATATAAATAAATTGATTAAGAATATAATTTATGGGTTTTATTTTAAGAACATCATCATTATCGTCATATGTCCACTACTAAGGTAGGTACGAATTCTGGATAGACCGGTTCGACCTACTTAACTACATATCTACCTAGACAATTTTCGGTTATTTTTAAGCAAGGGATAGTTGTTCCTCAAAAGGTTTAATTCTAAATCTAAGGAGATTTATAAGGATCACTAATTTTGATAACATGGTGGCCGAGTGGTCTCAAGTGGGACTGCCGGGTAAGGGATCTCGGGTTCGAAAACCCGGGTCGGCCAAAGTATTATTGCGTTTTTATAAAATTCTCAGTAGTAGCACGGAGTCTGGAAATGTGCCCGATATATGGCAATAGGCTCACCCCCTATTACATGGGATTTATAACACAAATAGGGAAAAGTGGGTGTTACATTGTACCTACAGTGGCATTAAATGCCGCAATGTGCACCTCTACCTACCCCTTCGGGAATAAAAGGCGTAATGTTGTGTGATAAAATTAGGTACCTAAAAAGAACATTATAAGCTAAGACAGGTTAGGTAATAAAACCCATTCGATTAGTGAGAAGAAAACAAATTATTTATTAAAATAAAATTCTTACTTTAGTTACAGTTTTGGCAAGAAGGGACGCTAGTCCAAAAATATCCATTACTTACAGCTGTTACGCCTACTCTTAAAATCGTTCAACTTTTCTAAGATCAAATAGACATTCTATACATACTCAACATAACAGAATAACTTTATTGTTCCTTGAAATATGAATCACAACACATTAAATTAGGGATTATTTTCAATTGAAACTCGGAAGTTTAGACTTGGTTGTTCCAAAAAATTCTCACCTGGTATTGTCCATAAGGATATTTCTTAAAATGATAAAGTTATTCTATTAGAAAACGCACCACAATTCATCACCTTCTCATACAGTCATATAAAATGTGCAAACGACATAATTTACATTCCTACGTAATTTTGTTTCCATTTCATTGCTCCACAAACACTCTTGCCTTGAAGTTAAAATTATAAATACATAGATTATATATAAATACGATTAGGTATATAGATACGGATTCGGTAGACAAGTAGGTACCTAGGTATATAGACTATCTTCATCTGGAGACATAAGGTAAGTGTTTTTATAGTAGCCAATCCACGACTGGTGTCGATTTTAACTTTTGAGTTCATCAAACAATCTTCTCTCGAAGTTTGTACGAATTCCAGGAATAGGTACTTATCCAAACGTTTTCCTCCGGTTTTATTACCTGTATCTTTCGAATCCTGCTAGAGTAAGATCTAACTTAACATCGCATATGTTTTCATAGTTTTTCATCTTTCATCACACATAACTCTTGCGTTTATAGGCCCAGGATCAGCGCCATAATACTATTTAACCAATTTAGTGGCCTCAAACAAACGAACTGACCAAAGTCTGAAATATCCATGGGCAGGTACCAGGAAAGGTATTTATAAGTTCGCATCAACCTATACCTGCAAGAAATCTATCCAGTCGATGTTAAGCTATATCTTAGCATAAAAACCAGCTGATAGACCAACCAAAAATTCTATGAAGAGAAACAAAATGATAACCGTAATTCCGTGGGAGAAAAATTTTGTTAATAACTACTTCAGCTTATCAATAAAACGGCTTGAGCCGGACCGTATTTTATACAAACATTTGAATACTACGACACCTATCTAAGTATCTACTTAAACATCAATAAGAAATGAAACCAGACGCCTATTGGATCGGACTGGTTGGCTACACAAAAAGTGAATAATTTCATACCACATATAATTTGCAAAAATTTCCAAAAGTTTTCCTTTACAATAACATTGAGCGAAATAATGTGAGGTCTAAGGAGTTTCTATTGCGGTTGTGGGATAGACAAATACTCGTGCGAACCCACACAGGGTCTCTCCATCAATTTACTGTTAGTAGATAAGCTGTGAGTGCTTGCCAGCAACGATCGACATACCTCTACAAAGATACAACCATGGTCATAAATGTTACGTATACGGTGGTAAACCTACAAATGCAGGAAGTATTCAGATATTATTTGACACAGAACACGGCTCGACGCCGACAAGCACTGCACGCACATGCCAACCGTAACTCGAATACCTCGCTAATTTAATTCAATTTTCAACATCTTCCACGTAATATTCTCATCTAATTTAAATCAAATAATTCAAAAGGACCTAATTCAAAATTTTGCGCCCGACCATTTTATTCTCGAAAATATAATTTTGTTTCAATGTTATTTACAAAAATAGCATTACGTGTAAATCCTATGTTAAGTCCTGCGATGAGCTCAGTGGGAGCGATAGGTCCTCTCGGCCACCTCGAAGCAAAACTAACACCAAAATAAACTACAACGGCGAGAAAAATAGGTCGCTTACACGGTGGTAGGTATTATGATAATTGTCATGTCCGTCTGGCAGCCGTTACAAGAGCCAGCGTCTTATATTAAGACCCAAATATAATATACGATATTAGACAAAGAGACTACACAATAAAATATAGGTTCATCTTAAAAATACTTACTAAATCATCTAAGTGAAAGATAAGATATATTGGTATAAAGATAATCATATAAAGTTACTCTTAGGAATCCATCTTCTCAAAACAATCTTAAAACAGAGATTACATGGAATACGGAGAGGTCCGAGGTACGCAGGTGATCACTGATCTCACGTTTCAAGTTTGGTGGCCAGTGAAACTACGCCGTGTTGTGGACCCTATCGTACCGACCCTACGCAATGTATCTTAACCGATACCTAGAGATAGTCTAGATCATAATATGGACACCAAACCTGACTAGGTAACTTACTCAATTAAACCTAGCATTCTAGTCGATTAATATCTCAAAATCATCGCCAAATCGGGCTGTATAAGAACGGACTTTTGAATTTGTTTCTTTCTAGAAGCTAGATCGTCAAACTATTTGTTATTATTTATCTTATGTAGTAAACATTTCGAATTATTGTAGTAAATGAATAAAAACGGGGCGGTTACAATAACTACGTGCATGGCTAACTCAGTCTAGGTCGACACCCGATTGTAAACTACATTTTATTTATTCAGTAAGATATTCGGCAGTGTTCGTTCGCAGTCGTGTGGACTCGTCGGTCTCTTATAAATATTGATGAGATGATTTGAGAGGCCTCTGTTCATGAGTTGGAAACTAGATAGCGGAAGTTTAGAAATTACTTATTTTTAAATACTGTTTACCACAGACACTACATTAACACTGGATTATTTTAAACTGCAGAATGCGAACACACTGAAGGCAGGTATGCCATCTGATAAAACTTTATCAGCACAACTATTTTATAATGTGTCTATTTACTATTTATTATTTAACCTTTTGACCAATACAATGAAACATTGAGATACAACACGGCTTCTACGGCTACTGCACAAAAGCTGAATGTTTAATTATCATCAAAATTCTATTTTAACATTTATTGATTATTTAAAAGTTTAATGTAATATTTATCTTATGGTGACATGTTATCGTCAACGGACATTATTGAGTAATGTGGGGTCAAAAGATTAAAATGAAGAAGGGAATTGTTTCAAGCGAATAGATAGGTGTAGGTGGGGCATATGGAAACGGCAGCACGAAGAGTTGGGATCAGGTAACAAATAAAAAAAACAACAACATATAAAATATAGAATGTCGATTACAAAATTATATTAGAAAAAAAACATAACAGAAATAAATGATTTGCATCGATATAATATAGTGGAATAAATTAGGAGTCTTCTGATATTAATACTATACGATAAATTATGCAAACAAAATCAAAATTACGAACTAAACGAACATAAGACGAAATAAAATCTCGAAGCGAACATGCAACGGTTGACGAATAAAGGAATTTCGAATTTTGGAATACAATATGTTATAAAGACTAGAAATTGAGCGTTCAAGTGGACTATGTTTTAGAGACAGAACGGGACAGAGTAATAGTCATCTCTCAAACGCGCCACAAATGTCCTAAGCTTAAATATAAGTCCTACGTTAACGTCTACAGTTTATACATCTATCCCTTTCAAACAGACTCTACCTCAAGGTCGGGAACATGTATACTTCAAGGAATACTAGCCTAACATCTACGACACGACATTACATGACACAAAACACCAGTAGCTGCCTGATTCGATAAAGCTTACAAAAACTAAATTAAATATAACAAAACATAACTTCCATTCCTAGTCACCCGTGAGTGCTCAATGCTATAGTCACAAATTACTTCAGGCAGCATAAATCATGTTCAAAGTTCCCAAACCTTAAAGTGTCACAGCTACACACACGCCAGGTCATTCAACCTGACCACACAAATTACAAAAACTTACACATTCCCCATGCATCAGTACAATGACAATAATCGATACATTACAAGTTTAAATCTCGACAATTACTTTCAAATACCTGTTTTAACATACAATATGCTCATAATCATATACATAATAATAATAATAACATAATAACATACAAGATAAAAATAAACTTACGCTTTAAGCCATGTAACAACTAAAATAAACTTTGGCCAAAATATTAAATTATCACACTGTGCGTAGAATGTACGATTTCGACAACAGACCATTTGAGCGGACGAGCAGATCTATTTAATTGTGCTTTGCTTTGAGCAAAGTGTTGATCCCGTAACGATATTGTATTTTTTCTATCACACATTACATTTCTTACAATTTTCTGCTTTGCGCCCAAACGATCAAGTATGTAGGTCTAAATAAAATCACTTTATGTTCCGTATTATTACGTTACAAAAATGTATGCCTTGCATTGGCGTCTCAAGCCATAAACAATGAGCAAAAACTAATAGTACAAGATATTTTTATAAGAAATTCGATCTCTACTTATACACTTTTAGTAGTTATATTCAGTAATCTAACTTAGTCTAGACTCTTCACAAGAGTTTACCCGTTCATCACATCCAAATCGCATTGTGCTTTAGATAGATCCTCACGTAGAAATGCATATAAATAATTTTGAGAATTGGACAGTTGAAGCAATTTTCTGTATCTCCCGAGGAGATAAAGAATTTGGCAAGAAACTATAATATAATATGAAACTTTACGACTGGTTTATCACAGGGATGTTACGACGTGGCGACGGCTCCACTTCACCTACAACTACGTTTGTGATGTTCGTGTTTGTATTGTGATGTTTGTTTAAAGATTACTGCATCTTAACCACCACAAGTATTAATATTTACTTAATTATGGAATGTTCAATAAACCAGTGAAATCTAGACATCGTTATTATCATTCGACATAGATATGAGACCAATTAATCAATATAAATGTGTGAGAGTTCGTTTTACAGACCTAAATACCTCATCTTATTTAGAAGCACACGATCCGCAAATAGTTTTTAGATACAACTATTTAACGGGAGATTACCAATCATTGTACTGGCATTCGTGCGCCAACCGAGTTAGGTATTTGCTAGCAACTCACGAAGCCGTCGATATCAGTTCTTGTTCAAAAACATTAAACAAATACATTAAATTAATACAACCACATCGCTGGAGTCCAAGACCATAATATTAGTATTAGGACAGAATTGTACAGATGGCAGTGTTTACGGATACATGGAGTATATAATAATCTCTCAGTTATCGCCAAAATAATGTCTACGTGCTCTTAGGACTAACTTATGTATTCATCTAACTTTGGAATGTTCAGCATTCATTATTTTAGTATAAAATCCGATCGAAACAGACGGTATTGTTTTCAATGATAAATTCATCAAAAATGTTCATTTAAATTATACTTAAAACTAACTTATATTTGGCAATAAATAAATATAGGCCTTGAACTCCGTCATCGAAACATTCGCGACAAATTCAATCAATAGTAATCGTAATACAACAATAAATTCACATTAAATACAATTAATATAAGATTACTAGTAATGATACGACACTACTGTGTAATAATAGTAATAATATGAGTGGATTCTCCTTACAATAATACTGGGTACATAGAATATTCAAAAACAAACTGCGATGTGCTATACCTGCCTTGTTCTCCTTACAATCTGAAAAGATAATCATAAATCAGATGTATTCTTAATTACTGTGTAAAAATACATTGGGAATATAAGTTTAGTTTTCTTTTGCAATCGCAAATCGCAAGCTACAGCTACAGCATAGAGACCGTATCCAACTAAGTATTGATTTGCTAAGTATATCATAGTTTTAACACCCACCATATTTAATGCGCAGCCCTGATCTGGTTCAGGTCGTCATCAGAGTCGGTGGGGGGCGCGTGCTCGGAGCCGGCGAGGACTGTCAGGTGGGTGGAGTCACTCTGCAGGGTGCTGCACTCCCCACCACCACTGCCACTCCAGTTGCCACACTGAGCCTTCTTCTGCAAAGCCTGAACGTACGACTGGAAATATAAACATTATGATTAGTCATTACACTTCACTAGTGACGTAGTCCTTACTTTTAATATTAGAGAGAATAAAAAAAACATTCAAAATTCTAATCAACAACAAAGTACATAAAATGCATTCGTGTTTCTAATACGAAAGATAGTAAAAAATGAAGATAAAACACGCAATGCTATCGCACTTGAACCCACCACTAGGCACGAGTTTACCGATAGCCTCTAAAAATGACAAGATTTAACTCGCAAGAGGCGCCATCTGGTGAGTGCGAAGACGATAGCTAAATTGCGCCTGTAGACAACACCTAGATTACTTAGAATTGCGTGTATACTAACGATTACTTCCTGTCCGTGTCGGTTCGTTAGTAAGGACATGGAAAACGATAATATTGATTAATATTTTTTTAATATTCTAATAATATTCAGTTTTAATGAAGGGAGCAAGTACCTGTGAGATAACATCGCCGTGAGCGGTGCGGACCTGGTACAAGTATCGGTACTTGCGTTGTTTCATCTCAGCACGTTGTTCGCGGGTCACGGGGCGAGCCTGTTGGGCCTTCATGTGGCGTTTCTGGGCGCTAATGCCTGTAACATTAGCATTATTGCAGTGTTAAAATTTTTGAACATGGCGTTGATACCGAAATGTATGTCAGGGCAGTAGAAGATTGTGTATCTAGAATTTATTTGTAAGAAAACTAGAGTTATATAAGTCAGAGAGATTACACAATTATTGATTTTTTAAGATTTGTTCTGTCATTTTAGTGATCTAATTCTCCTACGTGTAAATTACTGCTTAACCCATCGAGCGTCCGCGTTCCTTATGATCCTACGGGTGCACACGTGACATTTGGAGAAAGAGAGAAAGAAAGAAAGAAAATGCATTTATTTGGCCATAGGCACACGAAAACAAGGATTCATTACAATAGAAATAAAAAATACAGTCAAAATAAAAACAAAACATTAATAATAGATTTTATAAAAGAGAAAGCAGCATGGAGCGTTTTTTCTTATGGTCCACCGGGTGCTCATAAGGATGCTCGAGGGGTTAACACTTCCTATGTAGACTGATTTCAGAAATATGTTAAAGAAGCGGCATCATGTATTACACCACAGTTCTTGAGTCAAGTCAAAACAGCTACAAAGTGCACGTCCACTTTACTTTTCATCATGTCAAGCTGTCAAAGTACCGTACTTACTTTGTTCATGGTAGATTCCGGTAGCAGTGAGGGCGCATTGTGCAGTCAGACCAACGATGGCGGCGGCGGGCCAGGCGGCTAGGGTCAACCAGGATAGGCGGCAGGGTGGGGCTACAGCCGGCTCCAATTTCGCACGCTCCCACAACTGAAATGATAAAATATGGGTTTAGTTAATAAAAGATTACTTCAAATGTAAGTTGCGAATGTTAAATGGTCAGTGATTTTGTAAAATTATTTAGTTTAAAGACTACTGGAGTCAGTTGATTAATAATTTTGAAAATTAAAACATTTGTTAAATATTGTATAACAGGGTAAGGATGACTGCACGGTTGGTGCGGTGGCTGGGCAACCGGTTGCCGTGCAACGTGTCGCGGGTTCGATTCCCGCACGGAACAACACTTTGTGTGATCCATAAATTGTTGTTCCGGGTCTGGGTGTCATGTGGATGTGAATTTGTATGTTTGTATACGCACCCACGACACAGGAGAAAATCCTAGTGTGGGGCAGTTTTTTTTTTAAAAAAAGTAGAGGATAATTTCTTCAGCCAGACGCCGGACACGTACCTACTTATAGAATTAAGGTAAAGGACAATGTCCTGCGTCTCGTGTCGCCAGCGACGTTGGCGAGTAGCGCGATGTTGCCGGACTTTGGTCGACATGTCTGGCAACATCAACGTCGTTGTGTACATAAGGCGTGCGTTGTCGCCTCACAATATGTCAGGCGAAATCACGCTTCGCTTGACATGTCGTGGTACATTTGTCTCCTAGTTAGTCCCCTTTTAGTCATGACTGTTGTTATATGACTACTTAATATTATAGTATATATCTGTACACGTATATACAATACATCATTACTATCGATTAGTACATCCTTAACATGCCAACATATGATGCTAAACTCGAGTGTAATCTGAGTTGAGACCCCACAACAACACATTCTCAGGAGAGACACACACACACACACACACACACAGACATGTGCTTACAATCAGACAGACTCCACATCCACGACGGTAACAGTGAGACGGTGTCAGTAACAAAGTAATAAAAACATAATATTTTAATTCACACCAACTTAGTATAAAGTTGTATTTCATAGAGTATAGGAGTGAAAGTGTTAATGTGGGATAGTTCACATGCTTTAAAATCTCCAAACTTTCGAGTTGGCCACTTAAAACTACCGCGTAAACGTATAGTAATAACTAGTTGTTTCTCGCGACTTCGTCCGCTAAAATATGAATTTTAAGACATAACTTATTTTAGGTTTAAATTTTCCAAAATTAAAGTAGCCTATGGTACTCCTTAGTACATCAGCTATCAGCCAATAAAAGTCTTGCAAAATCGGTCTAGCCATTCCAGACATTAGCCAGTACAAACAGACAGACAAGTAAAAATTTAATTTTGGTATAAATATAAATTATGATTTCACAATTTGCAATGTTCTGTTATCTTAGATTGATATTGTCGTGGTGGGCAGGAGGTTTAAAACGACCGCTTCTTATCGCAAAACCTACCAATGGCAGGTACCAGTGTGACTTTTTCCTAGTCGTAATTATGTATTTTCTAATATTATTTAGTTGCCACTGATAAAGAGTAAAAGAAACATCGTGAGGAAACTTAGGCTTAATTTATAACTATAAGTTTGAAATCGCCAACCCGCATTGAGCAAGCATGGTGATTAATGCTTAAACCTTCTCCGCGTGAGAAGAGGCTCTTGTCTGCAGTGGCCACTTATATGATGAAATTCATTAAATTCAGAATATTTTAATATAATGCCCAAGGCTACATAATTTAGGTAATATATTGTAATAAACTTCTATACTGCCTTGTTGGCCGAGTCGTCGCAAGTGCGACTGGCGGGCAAGGCAAGGGGTCTCGGGTTCGATTCCCGGTAAAGGAAAAGTATTACTGAGTTTTAAAAAATACTCAGTAGTAACACGGAATCTGAAATTGTGCCCGGTATATGGCAATAGACTCACCCCCTATTACATGGAACTCATAACATAAATAGTGAAAAGTGGGTGTTATTTTGTACAGTGGCATTAAGTGCCGTTATGTGCACCTCTGCCTACCCCTTCGGGGATAAAAGGCATGTTGTGTATGTGTAAACTTCTATATCTATTCATTTATCTTTCTACCACTAAGTTTTTGGTTACACCCAGTATGGAGAAAGCTAGGTATTGCAGACGTCTGCAATACCTAGCTTTCTCCACACTGGGTGTAGCTACGCAGCTACCCTACGCTAAAATGGTACTTACTTTACAACTAGACATATTTAAGTACTCACTTATTTCTATATAAAACTTGTATACAGAATATTTAAACAAAGAGAAACGGAGCTTTAGCCCGCTTTTACAAGAATACGACGAAACTAGAGGGTGATGTATGTCAAGCGAATGTTCCATATGTATGCTTGCAACATATTATTATGTATGTACGTGTACCCAGGTAAATGCAAGTCAAAGTAGAAGTTACACAAAAGAACGAGAGAACGCTCCCATTTTAATTACGTTCATTTCTCGAAAATTTAATTTTATTCCTGGAAAAGTAATTTGTTCACATATTATGTTGTGAACTAGGTATTAAAGTCCACACCGAACCTTAATTTAAACTCGCATCACCATCATGAGCTTGTGTCCGTCTATAGATGCACACATACCTCTTTACTAACACACCACTAAGCTCTATTTCAAACACAATTATCTTCATACTAGCTACTTCCGCGCGGTTTCAAACGCTCTGCTCAGCTCCTATTGGTCGTAGCGTGATGTTTAATAGCCAATAGCCATCCTCGATAAATACGATAACCAACACAAAAAAAATTATTCAAATCAGACTTGTAGTTACGGAGATTAGCGCGTTCAAACAAACAAAAAAACAAACTCTTCCGTTTTATATAATATAAGATCAGGCACTCATAAACCGCTGATATGATCAGGCACTCATAGAACCACAAGATGTGCACTGTTGAAGATAGGGTTTCTTCGAGTTTCCAGAGCGGCAGGTTGGTATGTGAAGTGACCTGCATGCATGGTAAGCTCTTGTGACCTTTATCAGGTCGTCTCTAGACCATACGCACTGCATATCAAAGTCAAAGTCAAAATAATTTATTTCAATTGGACCAGGAAGACAATTTAAACGTCCAAAAAAACTGAAATATTAAAACATGTCAGTCTGCCGCTCAGTCCTCTAGTGAAGCTATGTGCTCGTTCCAAAGTGTATATTCCTATGGAGAAGAACGAGCAGGAAACTCCATAGGTTACTCTTTTTCTATCAGGTTCGAGAACAATATAATCCCATATTCAACCTCATATCTATTTCGAAAACCCTACTAAACTTTTACTAATCGCAAGAATACTAACAATTCGTGCAATGCAATTCAATTTAAACGACATAAACTATCCCTATCCGTTCCACCGTTAAAAACCAATCAATCACAATGAGATATAGGTAGGTAATTCACCGTGATTCACTACTGAGTAAGAACTGACATTATTTATGCCTCTGACTTGACCCGAAGAGCGTACATACATATATACTTTATATGATAAGTACTTATTTTTAGCACTTAACAATAATTGCCTAAGCAAAAGTTTAGTTTAAATGCAAATAAAATCATCTTGTGTAATATGTCATGGGTATACTTTTATATTTGTGGTTGGTTGCGTGACCATTTGCATTCGAATTCGCAATATTATATCACAATGAATATTTCGCAAATGTTAAATATATGCCTGTAGGAGTGTAGAGCATTTGTCAATTGTTACGATTGTATCTATGTGATTAGTAATAATAAGAATATTAACACGCATTTCGAAGTACAACCACTAACAAATAAATCAATCATTCCGACAAAGCTTACTACAATTTCTTGTAAATACCACGTCTATTAGACGACCCTTAAAAAGAACATCGGCCTCGAATTCCAAACAACTTCATTCTATACAATTATACCATTTGAGACAATTTACTCAATTACGTAAATAAATAAAATATAAAGCCACTGACCCACTTAAGCATCATCATTCGCTCAAAGAAGTAGTCGAGCGACGTCGCGATCACAGCGCCCCCATACACGCTCGTGCCGAAGATTGTAAGCACTGAAACACGAAGAACACATCATTAATATTCATGAAAGTAATCAGTAAAAGGACGCGATCGCTGCAGTCAGTGCTAGGCCTGAGAATTAGATTACATTTCCGTATTATTGAATATTCTGCGGGATGTTGTTTAAACCGAATGAAGACGATAGAGTACAATATATTTGTTACCACCTCTCATATTCCCGCGGTTGTCGTAAGAGCCGACTAAGCGACTACGCATTTATTTAACAGAGGTTTGGCAGCTGTGCTCTGATATATCTATGCTTTTAATCTCACAACCAGCTAATCAGAAGTGGAGATTATGGCCAATCCCTCTTATGCTTAGCAAGCATATAGTACAGCGGTAGACTGTCACAATACTCTTAAGATAAAATATATGGTGTGTTATCTGTACAGTTGATACAAATTAATGCGTGTGTCGACCACATTCATACCGTAAAGAATTTCATATTATTCGTAGTAAGTTGTGGAGGGCAGATGACAAACGTTATATAGGTATATGTATTTGATTAAGATTTAGAACGTTCAGAAAATACAAGACTGCACCTACATAGAACAAATTTAGAGCAATAGTTAAGAAAGAAAAGAAATCCCGTCGGCCCTATTTAAAACACACGAAACCAACTATAGTAGTTAATTCGCGGTTTAACTTAGTATTCTATTGATTTTAATCAAAGCCAGAAAGTGGAAGGTACCATTGCCTAATAACTCAATTAATTGGGAATTGAGTTTTTAGGCAATGGTTTAGGCTTTAAAACTAAAAAGATATTTGTTCTAATCCTATTGAATTGACAATACCGAATCTCCAATAATCTCTGAATACATAGATACAAACACAAATATTACATAACTGCTACCCACCCAAGCATTTGATGAGTTTAATCATAAACGTCATAGTTTGACAGACAATTAATTAACCCATTGCCGAATGTAGACAGAAAACTGTCGAAATCTTCCACTGACGTGCCCAACAACCATCACGATGACGTTCAATTTATTAAAACATCGACATCCAATCGAATCGAGTTAATACTTAACCTATTTACCCGAGAGGAAAAACATAAACGGCCCATAAAAACAACTTAGAGACTTAAGCTATTTAAGAAAATTAATTAGCTCGATAGAAAGAAGATTATAATTTTAACATGGAAACTTCGCTATTGATTCTTCTTAAGAGATTTTCCAGATAAAATTAAAAATAACTACGGTTTTTTCCTTGTGCCAAAAATTAACACGGAAGATTTTCCTTATAATCAATCTTAGTATCCACAATTCCAAAGTCAAGAAACGCCGATGGATCAATTTATAGTTGACTAAATTCAATCGTTCAGCTTCATGTTCAAATGTTTGCCTAAACCCGTCAGTCAATTAATGATAAGCTACAAACTGTAGAGAACGGAAATTATCACATTATCGAACTACTCCGTGATTTAACTCGAGTTTCCTTTCCAACTGTCACAGCGAGATTTGATAACCTTCACAGAGATCTGGATTGATCGCAATGTAACATTCCGAAATATAACATTCTAGCAATAATTCCTTTTTAATCTAAATATTAAAACAAACCTTTAAATTGATCGAGACAAACGAGGCTACAGAAATCAGCCCTTCAACTCTGCTTTTCACAATAAGAACCACAATGATGAACAAAGCTTAAAAAAAAAAACTCAAATCGGTTCAATGAATCGATGCCACAAGACACACATTAACACCCTTCTGTATAGTCTCGGATTAAAAAACAAAAACCTAAAAGTCCGTTTGTTTGAACGAGATTATATACATGACTCACTGGTCAGACTTGGAAAAACCTACATCAGAGTTCAAACCTAGATGTACCAAACATCTTAATCCTACGAAATCAAAAAGCACGCATGAAAAACTACTTACAAATCTTATAAATAAGACTCATGTTTTCGTAGTTAGTATAGATACTCATTAAACTACGGATCTCTGAACCAATAAGTTTCACGCTTATCTTCACATTGTTTCTGCCATTTCTCAAATGCACTCTTTTTAATTAAGATAAAGTTTATGTTATAAAGTCAAAAGTATACATTTTATTATATTATCGTCGCGTTACGCGGCTTATTTGACTTGACTATTTATACAAGGATTGAAAGAACTTAAAAGGCCTCGATCTTTATAGAACATCTAATTAATTAGTAGAACCATCGCCTGTTTATTGAATGCAGCGGTAAAGTCAATACAAGAGTACCAATCCATAATTAATTAGAAACAACAAAGAATGCCACAACCACAATAATATACGTAATGTAAGCTTGTAGAAATCTATGTAATGAAATGTATTAAAATTATTATAAAATCTCTGTTCACAGTATTACAAATTAAACACAAGCAAGTGTATTTTATCTCGAATGAATGGTATCCCGACTTTCGGTATGAGTTGTGACCGACAATACACTAGTCTAGATAGACTCATTGTTCGCCGATTGAAGCTAACGTGCCTACAATAGATAAGCCAGTTTACCTCGAATGAATGTTATCTAAACTTGCAGAGAATGACATATACCACGCACAAAATATAATTTCACGTCCGGTATACCCCGTATCGGTAACTAGACACCCACTAATCGCCGATCATGTAGTTTCACCCTTGTGGGGGCGAATCTAAAAATGTGCATTTGACGTCATTCCAGCGTCCGGTTATGGAACATTTTAAAATAGAAAAGCTAATTTTCAATCAAACATAATGCCTGGTTGCTTAGCCAGCGAAATAGAACTGACTACTCGAAGTGCACTTTGAGTAATAAGTTCTATTCTCGAACGTCAGTTTTAGACAATCGAATATCAAACTGGAATGACGGAGGTTCATAAAAGATTATTTCAATAGATCATAGTAGGTACTCATACCCCACTACAATATTGACACAAAAAGCGAAAAATTAAAAGCGCCCGCAAGCCTCGCATCACAAGAGATTGATGAATATGGATGACGCAGAGTGTCAGGACAGTAGTACCTTTGTGACTGCCCCATCTAAGGGTGAAAGACACCATTTGTACTCAAAAACACATTTTGCAATATTCAAGTGCTTATTCTACCAGTCAATAAGGCAATGACCTTAATTTATCTCTTCTTAGAAGATATTATCTCCGAATACCTAGTTATTTACATGTAATTACCTACTTGACTTACGTTCATCATTGGCAAACACTAATTTTTCCAAAGCCTACGAATAGGTACAGCGTCATTACTATCCCAAAGTTCGATGTTCTATGAAAGGGCTACTAATAAGTACTATTTCATATTTCTGAAAGACTTTGATTCTCTACAATGTTGTTCTATTTCTATCTTTGAGAACCATTAATTGGCCGACTGTAATCCGTGCCAGTTTTCTATTACTTATTGATTTTTCAATAAATCTAATAGCCCTATTAGATTTATTAAAGCTTTTTACAGAAATCATAAAAAAACGTTCGCAATTTTATTAATTAAATAAGTTATTTTATTTATATGGCTTCTTTCTTGCTTTTCAATACGTTCTTATCAAATCAATTTTCTCATCTCGTTAAAAGGTATCGTACCTACTTATAAATAAATTGCTTCCATGAATCAATTATAAAGAAACGTTAGCGATATATACCATTCCAGAAAATGGAATATTTTCTCTAAAAAAACAAAGACGATGGGCACTCGATACGTTGTAGTGAGATACCTATATCATATGTATGTATCTATTTACGTTAAAATATTTACGCTTCAAGTATTTTTCCAAGGAAGAAAATAATGCGAAGGGGTGCCCTAAGTAGGTACGCCCTCGTGCTTTAAAAATAACAGATTATTTTCCAATAATAACATTATACAAGGAATATTTTTTCAGGTACATAATAAGCTCACACCTGTAAAAGTTCAGAGGCGGCTTATAGGGGTTGACAAAGGTTTACAATACCTACAGACACCTTTTGTCAGCTATGTTATTAATCCTAAGTAACAGGACTCCGACCTATTGTGGTTCGGGGACGTATCTAAATCCAACTTCGATTTATCATTAATACTTGCGGATACACCGAAATTTTCCCACTCCTAAGTCTCTATAGCAAAAGATCATAATAAAACAACACTAATAAACTTCAAACACAATACCAGTTGTACCGCAACTCGTATTTGATATAGAAAACTGAAATGAAACCTTTTCCTGTAAGTGTTTACTCACAAAGTTTCCGCTAGAAGACACAGTTTGCGAAACACTCACGTTTATGAGATCGAGGACTGTTCCACAAGAAGCACAAATAAATACCCTATCTGAAATCTGTCTGAGTGAACATTTCCCAAAGGACCGCAGGTAAGTATAATATGCATTCTCATCATTGCACTGCACTGCACTAAATACAGTTGACTAAACACTCGACTACATACAGTCGGGTGATGTTACGAGTATCATCTAACCTTTCTGATTAAATGGACCATGAAATGCATAAGAATAAAATATATGAACATCATAACATCACGCCTTTTATTCCCGAAGGGATAGGCAGAGGTGCACACAGAAGTAAATTTACTGTTTATGTGAGTCCCATGTAATAGGGGGTGAGCCTATTGCCAATATACCGGGCACATATCCAAACTCCGTGCTACTACTGAGATTTTTTTTAAAACCCAGTAATTTTTTGCCCGACCCGGGAATCGAACCCGAGACCCCTTGCCCGGTAGTTGCACTTGCGACCACTCGGTCATCGAAGCAATGTTTTTTTGAAAATATATGAAGTCTTTTTTTTGAAAATATTTGATGGGCAGACGTTTGACCACTCTCTCGCCTGGTGGTAAGCGATAAAGCGGTCTACGATGGAGCACGTCTCTATTTCTGATCATTTTTATAACATAGGAAAGAATAGTATGTCGATGACACTTAAAAAAAGTGAAAGCCGAAACATTTGTTAGTGTAATTACACACAAACTATTCAATGGACAACGCTAGTTTTGTTCGGAATTTGGAAACAAAAAACGTTCGCGTCGTGTCCTACAAATATTGACAGAATCACGAGGCTTTCAATTCGACCTACAGTTACGAGAACAAAGTTAGAAGCTTGCATGATACATATTTTATCGAATAGAGACGAGTTTGTTCCATTAATATAACTTCTATTGATATCGTCTCGTTCCAGTTCTTAACAATGCTAGAAACAAAGCGATACAGCACGTTTCCTAGAACAAGTAATGATTAATACATTAAATATGAAACGATTGGTTCCGCCTGCTTTTTCCATGAAACACTGCAATAGTTACTGAATTCATCTTCATTTTTAATTGAAACAGCAATTTGTAATTGCATTTACAATCGATATTCTGTTGTTTTATTTTGATGTTGCCGTAGTTTTTATTACTTCATTTTACCCGATGTTAACAACAATATCAGTTTTATGAAACAGTTACCTAGAATTCAATTAGGATCATGATTCATTAGTAAGTCGAAACTCAATGAGAAAATTAACAAGTGCAGATGAGTTCCAGTAAAGGCAATTTCATTTCATTTCCATTGACGTACTTGTGCAGATACTCTTATTTGGCAAAGAACGAAATCAACAAAGGACGAAACAGTTTTGCTCCTGAATAATTTAGTTTTAACAAGCTAAATCCGCTGTGATTCGCAGAAACAGTTTCATAAATCAACTTAGACCTTTACATTGATAATAATTAAACATTGATCTGAAGGACTAGTAAATTAGCCTCCATCAACGTTCAATAGGAAGACATTTTATTGCATTACTAGTGCACCGAAGGCCGCTGGAGACCAAGTCAAGGATTCCATCTTTGTATAAAATCGAATTTATGTTACTTCAATAAAATTTTATTGAATTTATTCCATTTTCATTGCGTAGTTTTCCGTAGCTGTATTTTCCCCTGTAACATCTCTTAAGGTTGGCCTGACAGAAGGCGGTCACCAGGCCGCCTCGACAGCCTCGCGTGTCACTACAAGCTACAATGAGGCTTGATACAAGAATAATAGTCATATCTACCTGTGTCTACTAACCGCAGCAAGCGCAATTTACAATATTGTAATACACCAATCGATTGACGCGCGCAACTTAATCAACATCCCTCTCAGCGGATACTATTGAGTACGGAGACAATTGGAATATAATTATACAATTTCCACGTCCTCATACTGGTGCTATAAACAGATAATATAATCAATTCGCGGGCCATATTTCTGAGAGCAAAATATCGATATGACCGCATAATAATATTAGCGTGTAATACAAAACGCATCAAACGGAATCGTAATCAAAAGGGGCTTTAGACTAACATTAATTGAATTCCTACCATTACTACCCATTTTTAATGCAAAATTTATCACCGAAATAGAAATAAAGGCAAGGAGTTATTTTGTCCCGAGCGTACGGTCACCCAGGGTGCTTACTCTTGAAACCAATCTCAAAGTCAATGCAATTTCAATCCAATAAAATCTCAATAATTATTCCATGTCAAAACTGTACAACCACAATTGTAGCTGTTACAATAGCATTCAAAGTTCGGAATATAAAGCCAATCTGAATACCATTTAGTTCATTCAATATCCACGCAATACGGATGCAATGGGCGCTGGTGTAGCAACTCAAGAGTACGAAATTTCGCAATCCCAATGTCGATCGATCGGAATTGGATTCAAGAGTAAGCCACCTGGCGGGAGATGTAATTGGATGATTTTCACTCCTTAAAAAAAAAAAGGAGTTAATATGTATGGGTGACGTTCCTACCTACCAACATCATGTAATACTGACGCCAATGTGTGTGTTCCTGAAGCATTCACTAGTTGATTAAAAGGCAGAGTAAAAGTCATTTGTAATTCCGAGTATAAATTTTCTCTTCTTAGGTTAAATCCGCTTTAAGTGGTGCATTTTAAACGGATCGATGCCATGGTATAGTTTAAATAGCTCGGAGTACAGGGATAAAGTTCCACTTTCACGGGATTAAGTATAAAGTGAAAAATTCTCGTTTCCGTAAGTAACGAATACCTGGATTCCTGAGATGAGAGATGACGAAAGTATTGAAATTGACCAATTTCGACCATTAATCCGATACCAGAGTTCTTCATGCCGTGCACTTTGGCACTAAAAGGGAGTTAAACCGCTTTGTTTATGTTTTACGGAAAAGTACATAGTCGTGACACTCGTGCTTCAAAGGGCTATTGTTCATTAAATTCGTTCTCCAGTCCCTTTCTACTCGTAGGTGACCGTCAATGTTTTTATACCAATGCCGAGTGACCGATTTCACGCGGTAGCCAAGAAACGAAGTAAGTAATAATAGTGTTAAAAACTACTATGATAGAAAACGACTTCAATAGTAACGCAACATTTAAGTAACTCAGCCAAGAGCGCGGATCCAAGAACAACAAGGAGTTTCAGGAAATATGTAAGTAGGTATTATATGAGTAGAATATTGCAGAAAATGCAATATTCTACTAACTTAATAACTACGTCTTCCAGGATACTTTCATACTTTTCTATCACTTTACTTTGAAATATACTTGCATAAATGTAAGAAAATCGTAGTAAATTGAAGAAAATTGTAAAACATTGAATAGAGACGTTTACAAAGTTGAAAAGAAACGTCGTGAATCCTATCGACGACGGGTCGACGTGGCAAAGCATTAATTAGTAAAATTAAACATTCATTTTATTATACGACCTGTTACTTGGTAGTATTTTGAGTTGGGCAGCGATACATTGCTAAGTAATTATGAACCTATATATAATGTAGTCATGTTACATTTTATCAATGCTCCATATCTGAGAGACAGACGAACGTACAACACAATAGATGAATACATACACTGCACAGGATATTGAAACTAACAGACTTCAATCTCGAATATCATCACCCGGCTTTGAACCAGCTTACAATAGTTACAATGTAGAATATCCTTACTAAGCCTTAGTATTAATCTGTGTTCCTAGACTAAAGCCTAACACGCCCGCATTTCGCTTGTCATCTGCAAACCCTTTGAAGGTAAATATGATCTGTCGGCGGTATAGACACCGGTCAGCTGAATGCAGGGTGAATTTCCAAAAGTAGGTTTCCTAGTTTACCAGCAACTATGTAGATATCGAACATTGACCGCGTCCATTAAGATTATATACCTGTGACACGAGTTACATATACACAAAATAAATAGTTATTATATTACTTGTATGACTGACATTACTATCACGCTGTTATCAGTTGAGATAAGATAGCGGCCTTACCTTTCTTCCAATACAGGTTGATGACAGCGAAGAATATGCCTGAACATAGCAATACAACTACACAGAGCCAGTACTGAAACAAACGAAACATTATTAGTTTAGGACATGTGCACTTGTAACATAACAATTACAGATACACGATAAAAATAGGTAATGGTTGTAATGTCGCTAGCTTTGTTATTAATCTAGTAATTCAACCTACATTTAGGTTGAATTACTGTAACACCATTGCTATGGAAGCTGTAGCCAAATAAGTTAATTGGACTTGATGTGACACCTGTCCTAATTAGTTCTTAACCTGATCACATACGCTAATGCTTTCTCCTACAATGTAGTTCATAGACAAATCTCACACATTCACACCCTGAAATAGGGCCCTACATTATGCGTATCCATCTAATTCGGAAATCGAACTAAAATGTACGCGCTTCACAACCGCACCGCCCTAATCATTATTCTATTCAATTAAGCTATTCTAAAACTGTCTGAGCCCGCTAAGTCACATGATCCGTATCTCCTCTAAGTTTAATTTAATATTTATCTTCTACGAAGTAATTTTAAGTTTAAACATACATTTTTAGATCTGATAATGGCAGGGTATGACATTAAAGATGCTAATGTCGTCACCTTAATGTCAAGCCTGTCCATCACGGTTCAAATGACATTAATAAATAGAAAATATGCATGATATCATATATCTATTTTGTATACATATCGATCAGACTGATGTTGAAAGAAAGAAGCATAACTATAAAACATAGTTAACTGCCTTCACCGTGTGTTGAATATAAGATTCTTACACAGGATACTGTCTTATTCAAACACCGAGATTTACTAATCAGTTAAGTAGGTAAAAAGAATTATTAATACAATATATGAACTAACTAAAGTAACAGGAAAAAATATTCTAAAAGAAATATTTTTCATTCGCAGCGGGACGTTATAAAAAGCACGCAGCAACGGCGGCTAAAAATAGAACCACCCCGTTTTACAAAGCTATTGTTTGATAAACTAAGGGATTGAAATTGTGTACGAGCACAAACCGTACATTGATAAACTCATAACCAATGCTTGCATAGCTAAGTGATTAATATGGTATCCGCGATCCATCAATACAAAGCCGACATGGTTGGTACCAATATTGAACATCCTCTATTTTCACAAAACGTCAGTACCATTTACGAAAGTATACGAATGAAATTAATTGCGACTTGAATATCAAACTTATATAACTCGATTTCGTTATTCAAAACAAACATGTTCGTTGAAATATTTTTACTATGTACAGTAATAACAACGTATTCGCTGTGCAAATATACATTGAAAATTGTTTTGAACACAGCGTACATAGTGTATGTTGTAGGTACCCACACCACAATAATCGCCCACATCAATGGACACACTGTAATGACCTTTAACAACTTTTGTTTTCTGAGCGACACAAATGGAGCCATCAGCTCATAACTTTGTTATTGTGACGTTTCACGTCGCGTGTGTACAATTGTGTTACAATTTCCGCATCCAGGACAAGTTGCATCGACTTTTTTGGAATACAACGCGCTCGACAGTTTAATAAACTTGGAGCACTTTAATCTATACGCTACCACGGTGTCGCTGTCGACACATAACTCGTTTGTGGAACTAGATGAAACCACTATGGTTATGTAACTACCTACCCGAATTCAAAACACAGATACATGTTCATAGCAATAATAGTGATTGGCATGAGCATTCTTGACTTCTCAATTCTCAGTTCTAACAAATCTTAACCAGTCTGTCGCTGTGTGTCGGATCAGTTACTAAGTGCGGCTAACAACCCACTTGACTGGGGCATGTCACTGAATTGCAAAATTGCATTTGATTGCTTCCCTCCCAATCCTGATGACATACAATTCACTGTAATGGACATAATTGGTTCAAAGCAAATCAAGTTTAAAGATTAGCTGACCAATCGATATAAGAGGACCCCCGACTCTCTGTGCTCATTTTCTCTTTGTCCCTCAACGCAGGCACTTAGTTAACTACATTAGTCCATTCGGTTTCAATTTGTCAGTTTTTCTTGTTTTACGAGTAATCCAATGATATATGTGAACAATCGCAATAGCTTGTAAATACTTTCGCCTGCACATTTGTGTATCCGACAAGTCGCGTCGCTAAGACGTGTTCATTAATAAATCAACACTTGGATTTCACTGTCGCTAGCTTCACTTTCACCTAAGTTAATTGATAAACCTTTATATCAGTTCTGACATAATTATTCCTTTCATACAACATAACTCATATTTAAATGGTCCTTTCATTTATTTTATACTGTTTTTCAATAAAAACAACCATCATGTTTGTTTTAAAACATTAAATAACATGTTATTCAGATTTTTGCAGTTACATTTTCATTTACAGTTCGTCGAATCGCAATATCATGCAATTTATTTGTTTTGTGCTTCGAGTTTATTCCTGATATTCGTTTATGTAAACTTTTATTCGACATCAGTATTTGGCTACATATGTACGCTAACAGAGTTTTTATTAAAAAATACTGAACAAACTTCATATGCATTCAAACGTTACAAACTAGAACTAGGAAAAGTTGAAAATGGGGCTAACAAAAAGCTATTGTGACAAACGTTACAACAAGGGCTACCCTTTCATTCGCAAAGCTTTTTGAGGAAATGAACATTAAACGCAATTTCGCAATACGATTAACGTTTCTATCTGCTTAATTAGAACAGAGCAAACAAACGTTTGCACTTTTCCAGTGAGTAAATTGAAGTGTTCCCGAGTATGTAACTAAATAAAGATAACAAAGGGATGCACAGAGCCTGCAAAAATAAACAGGCGAATGCGAACGAAGCAGTAAGTGAAGTAAACAAGACTTGTGATTGAATGCTTCCACCGTCGTAATCCAATGGAACCTCATGTGTTTATTTAAAATGCATTTCCCCTAGCAATTACTGGACTTTCCTTTTCTGCACTTAATTTTTAAACACCAACGTACGGGTTGCCGCTCAGTTGAACGACTTGTGTTCCACTTACGAAGACGTATTCGTGAATAATATAAAATTAAATTGTCTATAAGCGGACCACTTTAAACTGCCAGGCGACAAAGAAACAACGAACTCCGCTAGACGGATCCCTAGTGCTTTAATGGATTTTATAGTAAAAGCAAATATATGATTATCATGGTACATTCAGTTTAGGTCATGTTAATGGAAATGTAATCCGCTTACTCGAAACTCTTCTAAAGTGCAATGCATTACAAGCGTCCATTAGCAATTGGTGAAATAAATTCAACATTATTTCTGGTGTAACCACAATACTATTGTCTGTCAATAGTTTCAAATGTAAACAGAATACGTAATGGAATATTGGTTGGTAACAAGTAGGCATAATCTTCACGCAGCCGTTAACGTACCAATAGGTAATTGGTGCTTTTCAAAGACACTAAAATATGCAAGGCTTTATTCGGAAATTTCATGCTGTGACTGACCATTCACTCCGTTTTCCGTTTTGAATACATTTTCAAGCTTGGAAATAGAACATGACAGGGAAAACTTTTAGATCTATTTTTAAGCCCATAGACTTAAATGGCTGCATCGCTTTTTCATACTAAATGAACTTATTACTAAGAATTGAGTAACAGTAAGCAGAGTTTAGTGAATTTATTATATATTTAAGATTTAGTTATTACTCCGCCTAAATCAACGCCATTTGATTTATGTACTAGAATCACACATTCACCTCGTGGAATTATTAACCAGTTGTATAGAGTATTGGCTCATTATTTATTCACTGTATTATTAGCGGAATAGAGTGCATCAGGTGAAAATCACAACAGATTATAATAACAACAACAACAACCACAATTGTATAAATTAAGTGTAACAAACATTAAACATTTACAATTAAGTGCTTTCAGGCTTGGTTGATAAAATGAATTTCTGTTTATTTGCATGATTTCATTCGCCACAAACTTGATTACTTAGCACGTCGGTCCGCCGTATATTCCGATGGAAAAATCGCTATCCGATAGAAGCATGTATGTGTATGTAATCTGGATTTATGACCGGTGACCGGTGGCATGACAACTGTCTCGCCCACCTTTGTCCAGGGCTAGTAGAGTGTTTTCTACGGTATTACAACTCAGCCTACGCTGTCGGGGACAATGGACGTACGTGTTTGTTATGTCTTCAAACAAATAGGCAAAGACAAAACACAGACAGTTCAATGGCTTTTTCTCCTTTGTTTGTCAACCAATTTTATTTATTTTTGATACCTATTTACGAACTGTTCGTAAATGAAAAACGTTATAGTAATATTTTACTACAAATCTTGGTTACGAGGAATGTATAAAACATCAAACGAAATGGAATATTAATGTAGCTCTATGTGTACATATGTACTAAGTAAAAAAGTTAAAACCAATAAGTAAACAAACATGATAAAATACAGTTCAATGTCGACGAGCAGGCGACCGCAATAATAATTACTCTATTTCGAATATGAAATGACGGAGCAATCTACGCTTTGAGCGGGAAACTAGCTTTATATAAATGTCCTTTACAGTATTCTTTGAATTTAATAAATATCAGTATTTTTCTTTTGACGTCCTGACCCTCCAAGCAGCTTAACTTATTAGCAAGGATTGCAAGCTTCGTTAAGTTGATTCAAAGTATTTTTCCTCTGTAAAATCCTTTTAACATTTTTTATAGTTATATTTTACATCGATTAGTCGCGGTGGCTGCTTCTTATTTTTATACCTGACGTAATTCTTAGCTCACCTAGATTGTCGTTAATTGAAGTCTAATTAGACATATCCTCATTATTATACAGTTCCATTGTTATTCGGGGTCAAAATTTAAAACCTACAAAATATTTTAAATCTCGAATACTTCTTTTGTGTAGATTGTAAAGTCCAGATACAACTACATTTTATATCTCACACATACATAGCTATTCGCTGTTAAAGGCATGTGAAGAATCGGGTCGAGACGAGATATGTAACGCTGTAGAGGCTCGCTCGGAACGCCATATTTCCATCAAATCCATCGGAATCAGGTATGTCAGTACCAGGCATTATAACGCTGAATTTTTAAAAAGTTACCAAGAAATTGTACTGGTACAGACGACGTTACACTATGATGTTACAGCCGGTCGATTGTCTAACAATTATACACTGATTACAATACTTTCACTAATAAGTAAGTACCTAAGAACGTTAATCTGAATCAATTATGTATTTATACTTATACGCACATCATGGATATGTTTTATTGAAGAATCCGTTAGGCGTAAATGTAAGATTCTTAACAAAAAGGAACGGGTCTTATTTCATAAATTCTCTGTAAAGATTTGTTACTCAACTGGTTTTCAAACAGGGCTATTGAGACTCACATAAAAACGATCGTACAGGAACGTTGTGGTCTTTATAACGCTTTCGGAAATGAGTTCATTGTATACGATGGTGTCTTCATTCAAAGCAAATCTGTATCAATGGGGATTACGTTCATTTGTGCAGAAAACGTTTGTATTTTCATGCTAAACGGACATGAAACAATATAAAAGAACAACAACATGAAAAATATCCTTTTATCCGGCTTTTGAAATGATTGTCTAGACGTACGTCGAAACCGGAGGGCTGCCTTTTAAGGGATTTACTTTTCCGATCAAAAGGTAACACTCGGACATGAGAGAGCATTATAAAATAAAAGACATTCTCTCCATTCTTCTCCGTACGTCCACAAATTTGGCAATTGTTGTGATAAAGAATTTATATACAGTAAAATCATTTAAACATGTTTGTATGTTCGTATACATTTAACTAAAAACAGGTACCTCAAGCAAAGTTGGCCTCTTAACATAATAGTTACGAGAAAGTGTCTTGTGCAAAAATTGCCAAGGGTCAAACGTCAGTAGGCAATGTTGTACTTATTTAAAAAGAAACTCGGTCAGTACATTACGCACATAGACAATCGATATAGGTAAATAGTTGGAGAGCGTATAGCGGTGTGTATGCGTCGGAGAGCAATACACATCCGAGCATGCAATTGAGGTCAGATTATATTGTTAGATGCAACTACTGCCCCGGCGCATCCTATTGATTTAATGGCTGGGAAGCGGGTCCTATCGACTGCTACACGAATTTATCACTGTGTGCGAAATAAGTACTTCTACCGGTGTAGAGGATTCAAATTGTACGCAAACAGAATCATGGAACCGTGCAACAGGTTACGTACGTACATACGAAACTAGTGGTCTATCGGAAACTATATCGTTCAGATCAAACCAGTTGCGTTGCTACTGAAGAAATCATTTGGCGGATTACTGAACTATCTACCATTAGTATTGTAATTCTCCTTTGCAATTTAATGATAAAGGATGTCATTGTGGCTAAGTAGCCACAATTCTTTAAAGGAGTTTAATATGATCATAAATCCGTTATAAACTTATCGAACTGGTGACATAATATTTATGCATCATACATATTATTTATCCTAATGACACACACCGTTCCCGAAAACCTCAAAATATACTGTGTACACTTCATAATCAGGTCACAGAAACGCATCAGAAATGAAAATATTATTGCGCACCTGACCGTGTTTCAGGGTCCTCCATAAGGCGGACCATATCGATAAGTAAAACCACCGACATCCTTATTAAATTACCTGCAGTATTTTTCATTTCATTCTCTTAACGAGACCAACATAAAAGGTATTCCTTACCTTTTTCAATTTTTATCACAACTACTGGGGTATTAAAAACTGGCGAGGTGGCTTCGCGCACCAAGAAGTTGCTTACCAATTTATCTATAAAAAACACAATAAATCTCAATTTTTGTTTTTTTTTTTTTGTAATAGCAGTAACTATCATACTCGCAACAGAACTGAAGAGTTTAGTGGCCAGACGAGGAGCTAGCCTTAGCTGCTGTTGACACGTAGCACATCGGCTTATAGTGTTGCGATTGGTACTCAATTCTAAGTTTTACTTAAATAATCTAAGTGCATTCTATGTAATTTTACAAATAATTTGTAGTAACAGAACTGAGTACATTCAAGCGCGTCTTAAAATTAAATGGCGATTGAATATTTGGACAATAGTCTGGTGGCGAGGAGTAAGACCCCTTTTGGGTGCATAAAGATGGAATTACCATTCTCACGCCACGTCCCTATAATTCGTTGCACAAGTACCTAACTTCCTGCATAAATTGAATCGGATAAACTGCTACCAGAGAACTACTGCAGCATGCAAGCTTCGCAGTAATAACGATACGAGTCTAAAACTGACCTCGAGATCGGTTTGCGCACATGCAACGCAGTCATAATCTGCGGAATCCATCACGCTTTTGTGCTGACAGTAATTCTATACATCCCCGAGTCAAATATGATTTGTTTCCAACCCAAAACACATAGTTCTATATTCTTTCAAAAGGTTGCAATTTTGCAAGATCTTTGACCGTACGTAAGATGCACTGCGGACTAACACAAACGCTATATAAAGTCCACACTTCAAAGTGAAAAGTAACAGAGAGGTGCATCGTTAGCCTGGAGAACTCGTTTGCGATACAAAATTTTATTTCACAAATAACAAACAAAAATCTGTATTTAACTGAGCCAGCGCTGTTAAAGTTTTGATTTTCTATTGAATTCCATTTCAATAGTGCGCTCGTTTGCAATTATTTTGGCCGCTTCATAAGCCCCGTGTATGTAATAAATTGACATTTATTGAAAGCATCGAGGACATTAATTTACGATCACCGAATTTCAGGTGTCATTTGTTAAATCAAAATGATGCATGTCTGCTTGTTTACAATTATTTGGTAATTATTTCATACATGTAATGTATTGTACATTAATGCATATATTTCAATAGTAGTAAGTAACAGTGTGCTTTTTAATTGCATGGGTATTAACAGTAGAAGGCATGCCTAATTATGTGGTTTGCTTTCAGAGCGATAGTATCCATACAGGTAATTAATTAATAGAGACCTGACGTGAGTGATATTGCTTGTTACTGAAACCCAATATTTAATAAAGGGTTCTATTTTTAACACTACAACCTGTTTATTTCATCAAAGGTCAAATATGGTGGTGTATAATTAATTCAAATACAAACATTTTTACTGCTATATTTATTAACATACTTCAAAAAAGGAGGAAGTATTCAGTTTGTAATCTATTCAAAACACGGAGCATTCAAAAGAATCATAACAGCGTTACTTCTCGGTCAAATGTAATATAGAAAAGCCACCAGTTGAATGGTGTCCGAATTATTACCAATTACGTAAAATAGCAGTCTGGGCCCCCGTGTGAATAAGTCGACGACTCTGTTTTACTTTCGGATTATATGTAATGTGTGTCACACCGGTCGAGTTCGCACACTTCGCACATACTGACTCGAGATAATAATGAATCATTTTACGTCGAATCGATGAGTTCGATGACGCGCTGCGTTCATAAAGTCGAAATATTGACATCCTCGTACAATCGGTGTATTAACATTTTGCTAAACTTCTACTAAATAGTTACGATGACATTATTCTATTCTACTAACTCAATATCAAAGTCATATTTTAAAACAAGGAAGTCCAGTAACCTGTAATGTATTATCACTACATTGTATTGTAGCCGTGCCTATTATTTGGAGACAAAGTAAGAACGTAATATTATCCGTCATCGTCAATCACATAGATACTGCACTCACATTCAAATTGGTAGGTATGCATTGTGATTGTGACCCACATAGGCATGGTCGCGATATGATCACATACAATGTATGGTAGAATACACATTAACGAGTGAGGATATGCAAATACTTACTGTAGTCGGGCGGGAATCCAGGAAATGGTCGTAGATGGCTAGCCCGGCGATAGCGAGCAGCACACCCGTGTGGAAGCCGGTCATGAATAGGCCCACGTATTGGATCAGCATAGTGATGAGCCCGAACAAGAGCCCAGCGCACAGAGCCACACCTAGCAAACATTAAGACAATTAGCTACTTCATTAGTAGATGTCGCCACGACATGGATACATGGGTTTCCGATCTAAGCGCATTGATCCACCTAATGAGTATAGGAAGCTTTAATTAATGTAGTGCACCCGAAACAGTAAGTACACTTAAGTAGTTATGTAAAGACATAGTTACCACTAATAAGTAGGTAGTAGGCACACATTGTAACATAAATGCACCCGCTGAACTGAACGTAAATGTACACGTTCATAAGCTACTTCGGAACAAAGCCGCTAAATAACTTATTAGTTACTAGTACCAGGTAGTTTAATGGATCCTGGAAATGTTAATAATTTTACGTCGAGAATATTATAACAGGATCGGATTTAGCGAACTAGCACGAAGTTGTTTTTACTGTTTGGTTTCGAGTTTTATTCCCTCGAACAGGCATAAGCACTTTTACGGCAGAATTAGGTAGTGAAAAAAAGAAAAATAAAGTTGCCAAAAGCTTTTCTGGATCTAGGTGTTCCAGATTATTCTAATTCGATATTTTGAAAAGTTTATAGCGTCTGGCGCAAATTTTTAGTCTTTGAAACGGATGATAGATGTGTATTTAATTTTATATAACAGATGGATTAGTTTTTGCACTCTCGTCCATTGTATACTACTTCTGCTACTATTATAAATGCGAAAATTTGGAAGGACATATTTATTACTCCTTTACGCAAAAATTGCTTAACAGGTCTGTATGAACACAGGAACGAAGACATTTTGTAGTCTGAAATAACATAACGACTACGTTTCATCCTGGTACACGACATGACACGAGCGAAGTCGCTGGCAGAAGCTAGATTGTAAACGCCAAACTTCTTTAGACATGATGTTATGAATGTTTGTACTCTTTACGCAAAAACTATTTAAGAGATCTGGATACCTTTATAGATAAAGTTCGTCAAATTCTATTGACACCTAGGTACATACCTAAGTAATCTAGCAAATACATACCTAGTGAAACTACTTTGTTCTGGCAATGCGGGTGAAGCCGCAGGCAGAAGCTGATACATCCTTACTAATATTATAAATCGGAAAGTGAGTTTGTTTGTTTGTTCCGCTTTCACGCTGTAACTACTAAACCGATTGCTATGATTTTTCGCAGACGTAAAGTTAGAAGTCCGGATTAAATAATAGGGTACTTTTTATCCCGGAAAGATTTGATATTCCCGAGGGAAAAAAGTATTGGTATATATGTCACATAGGCTTTTTAACCTTTTGTGACGCGAGCGAAGCCGCGGGTAAAAGCTAGTATACAATAAAACTGTTAACTCCCTGTCGAATATTATTACTTCTTTAAGGTAAGGGTGACTGCGTAGGTGTAGGCAGATCCATCATCGCATGAAAACTTTCAAATTGTTTAGAAAGGTTACGGTACAGAAATAAATGAAATGATATTGGAGCCCCTTTCCTATCGGCACATTTTGGCGATGCGATCGCGGAAAATGTCTTTACTTGGTCATTTTTTTTGAACCAAACATGTTAAAAGACCTGAAATATAGTTATTACAATGAAAATTAACTTACCAACGTTCCCATATGGAGGCATCAGATACTCCTGGAGGCAGATAAGGTAAACGATAGCCGAGCCGAATGTAAAGCCAGTCAGAAACATACTTGCTTTGAAGCAACGGTACCCTGAAACAGATACTCTTATAAATATGTTGCTACGAAGAGCAAGTACTCAAACACCACTGTCCCACTCGAATAACGATATATATACGCTAGTTCAATTGACTATTTAATATACAGAAGTGACATAGGCTTACGACAAAGTCGTGTGTCCATGGCAATCCCATAGTCCATTAGATTAAACAATCGAATGGTTTAGCGGGGCGTTTCCAGGTTTTAAAAACTTTCTTTTATGGGATGAAAAGATAGACCAGAAATAAAAATATTTTTTAAAATTGTAATATTTGTAGCAGTCTAAACACTGTCCGTAAATTAATGTTGTAACTACTTTAATAACAATGGGATAACAGTTATATGCGCGTACGGACTCGGGAGCGTAGTTAAATGTTTTTAGAACGTAACTAACTGCATAATGTATAAACGGTAGTTAATATTTTGAATGTTGTTTTTATTCTACGTCTATTTAATTAAAACACCGACGAAGTGTATTGTGATCATTTGATATTTTATCCACAAAATCTTGTTTACTTCAAGCAAATATCCGGTTTATGGCGTAATATTTCAATAGCTTTTCTGGTTTTAGTTGTTTGCTTTTAATAGGTATATCCGTGAATCAGAATAAATAAGATTTTGTCTTTAGTTACTGCTGTACGAATAATAAGCGTGAGACAAATATAATTTGTATTTTTGTAGGAATACAGGTGTATAATTTAGTATCAAACCAAACAAGTTTGTATTATTATTATGTATGCATATCTGAAGAGCCTGTACGATAATACGAACGCTACTTATCAGACTGCGAAAAGTAAAGATTGTGTTTTCCATATTGAGCTATTTTAAGGACTTCAAACTTCGCGCTGAATTGTTATGATAAAATAGAAAACCACGTCATAATAGGACGAGGCTTTTGCATCAAATCATCCCATAAAACTTTGCAGGTACTTGTACGTACACGTAGGCACTTACCGAACAGCGTGTACACAATCCCGAATGCAATGTACATGGCGCAAAGCACGCTGATGACAGGGTCATAGTTATAATCGATCGACGTGCAGAAGGACCCCTCTACGTGGGGTCCGTTGAATTTAATGACAGACATATTCGGGGGGCTTCGCGTCACCTGAGGAACTAGTTGTCCCACTGATGACATTTTTAAAACTCACTGACGGTTGATAAATTGCATTGACCAGTATAAGATGAGTTCTGCAAAAGAAATGTGTTATGAGGTCACACATGTAGGTGCAAATCACCTTGAAACCACTTCAGCTAAATACATGAAAACTGGTTTGTATCAATAGTTTTGAAATTGTTCTAAATCTTGAGCAACTGTTTGTGTTACATAGTGTTGAAGTATATAGTATTGAAATAGAGGTGATACAAATAGATACCATGCCATTGGCTGAAGTTTGCTTCTGTAAAACAATTTCAAGTACTGTTTAAGAGAATTTCTGTACCAACAATGTGTAGTTAACAACACAGTGTTTACTTTAAATAGCAATTTGAACATGGAAAGTAAACAAATTTAAAAGAATTATTCAGTTGTAAATTTTATCTAACAACTGCATTTTTGAATGGTTGCCCAGATCAGACGGGGCCTTGGTTGATAGTGTAATATTGAAAGCTGACATCATTTATTACTCATCATCTTTGCACTCAAAAACAATATGGTGTTACCAAAGTTAAATAATCATATTATTATCTTTTTTCTTTGCCAAACATGAATATCACTGTATAACAAATTATTGGCTTTTTAGGACTGTTAAGGTATATTTGACACACAAAACTCTTTTCCCATAATTTTCAAATTGTTAGTACTAAGTACTTTCGTTATTGTGATAATATAATGATACAGCCATGTGAATAAGGTCTTAGGTTCAGTAAATATGACTTGCTGAAGGCACCTTCATGGTGGTCAAGAATAAAATAAGAATAGTTTTTTTTTATATGAAAAATATTGATTCAATCCTTGTAAATGCAAATGTAATGTTACAACTGATAATGTATTTCATATAATAATACTTAAATAGAAGCAACTCTTTATGAAACATAGAGAGAAAAAAGTTTTTTTTTAAAGTCAAAGTCAAAGTCAAAATGATGTTGAATTGGGCACTTGGTAAAGTTATTTTGTACAGATATTAAAGTATATTTTAGCCTGTAAATACAATGGAAGTAAAATATAAGCTACATAAATGGCACCTATTATTTAGGTGGTCTACCACCAGTCAATATGAATTCATTGGTGAATGATTGAGTACCTATGTTTAATATTTTAATCAAATATTTTGCTACTTATTGTAGATAGTGTATGTATGTTTAAAATATTTGGATATCTTATTAAAGTATCCAATTTAGAGATATGTTTTTATTTGTACATTATTTCAATGAAATTGGCATCTTGAATAATTTTAGTGATGAATAATACTTTGATAGTAATGATGAGAGTTTATGTATAATAAAAGTCATACAAACAACCCAGCGTATCAGAAGATAGGGAAGGATGACCATTTTAAAGATACATTGAATAATACCAAAATATATAAGACATTTTTTGTTCATTTTTCTAACTTAATTATGGGAAAGTTGTGTTAGAACAAAAATGTTTGCCAAATTTAGATAAGGTGCACCTAACAATTTATTAGGGATGTAATTTAGTAATTCTTCCTTGAATGGTGCCTCTTCAATCCTAGATTGATTGTAATTTATTGGTTCTAAAATACAGATAATAAAATCTATAAAATAGCCAATAATTAGCTAGGTACAGTTTACTTTTTGTTAAAAAAAGTAAATAATGTTTTTTAAGAACTTAATTATATTTTAAACAATATCTGTAGAGTAAAATATAAATTGAAATAATTCTTTGATAATACTGAGGCTTAGATTGCATTTAAATAACAAGAAAAAAGAATGACTAATATGATTGTAAGGTCCATGTGCATCATTTTATTTTATATTTTAACTTTATACGTTTATTATAAACATTAAAATTCAACATTGGTTATGGGAGTCATTTATACGACTCAGATTTACACCATTTGAAAGCGTAAAAAGATTCGAAATCAGTCAATAACAAAAACATGTTTCTACTTTGCTATCGACGACTTTGGAGCTACTTCACTTTGTTTCGTGAACAAGCTTTCGTGTCCAAAAAAATTCAATGACACAGTAAAAAACCTACCAATAAATACAATCCGGAGAACCAGAATTTAGTCAAGTATTTACAATAAAAAAAATAAAATGTAAGCAACAAAAAATAACTCACCATTCTACGTCATGTGTCGATTTCACATTGTAAATTTATAAAATCCAGTACACTCAATGACTAGGACTCGATCCTCGAATTATCGCAGCTTCTAAAACAAACGCATTGTTTTTATAATATGTAAATACCCAGCAAAGCTAACACTCCGCACTCGCGACTACTACCTACGTAAAAAGAAAACTATAGAACAGGTACCTAACAAAGGAGACGTTTCCCACTGGTTTCCACCACCGAGTTTTCTCTACGACTATGTTGCTGAATCTTTTTAAAATAGTGCTGTCATTTACCACAGATAACACAAACTGAGACAGCTAAAATCGATTTGACAAGCAAACTGTCATCGATTATGAAAACCGGAAAATTAACAAAATATTTAAAAAAATAGTAATGTCACGTCAAATCCAAGTATATATTAACATATAAATATTTCAAAATTAATTAAATTGATTTTTATAAATATGGGTGTTAAAATAAAAATACCGTTAACCACGCAAAATGTAGCGGGACCGGACCGGGGACAGGGCCTGCGAAATACAATACAACCCTAGCCGCAACCGAGTGCACCTTTGTGAACCTTTGTAAATTTGTTATTTATCGCAGGGAACAGTTTTACAGTAATATTCTCTCTACTTTTGTTAGTGATCACAAAACCAGCACATTATATTTAGAGACGTACACAAGTTTTAAAATGTTTTGGCCAGTCATCCACGGTGTTTAAATCAAACAACACGTATTTACCTCAGTGAACAGTGTTCATTCGTAGTAGCCGCATCACCAAATTCACAATGAAGATCACAATCACTACTCTGAATGACGAGATTTTCGTCTTAGACGTATCTGAAGATTTGGAGTTAGAAAATTTTAAAGCATTTTGCGAAATTGAATCCGGGTTTCCTGCGAAAGATTTCATTTTGAATTTTAATGGCAAGCCGCTATTAGATGACAAAAAGTCTTTAAAAGAACACGGTGTTCACGACGGCGATGTGATTGTGCTGCTCCACATGATGCAGTCAGCATCCAACCTCAACCAGAACGATTCCAGTCAAGGTAATGTTAATTTTGTAATCTTCGTTTTCACTGTGCATCTAAAAATGCAGTGTCATGCCATTATTTGTCATTGAATGACAGGGTGGTTTTGACAAACTAAATACTGGCAGCTTAAATAAACGTAAACAAAGAGAGAATCCTCTATCCTCAAATAAAAAGATTTGTGACATAAATTACGTCATTTTCATCAAGATTTTTTATATTTGGAGGTTGAGTTACATTTTTAGTAAAATAATTTAAAAACATCTTCCTTGCAGCTTTGCCCACTGGCTTAGCAAGTTTAGACTTCAGTGGCATCAGGGTCCCACCAGGTGCAGCCAGCACCTCAATGGCAGCTAGAAACCCTCCTGTTGAAGAAGACCCACGCATCATCAGGGAGATGTTTTTGGCCAATCCAGATCAGCTTGCTCTCCTGAAGCAAAATAACCCTAGACTGGCTGATGCTCTTCTCAGTGGCAACCTCGGTATGTAATATTAACATGACATAGATACTTCTTACTGCATATTTTTTAAATTCTTTTGCATAATCTTTGATTATTTGTAGATAATATTAATATGCACTAAGATAGTATTTTATGTACATTAGGATTAGAGAAACTTGATCCTTATGAGGAACAAAACATAAAAATGTGTACAGTGTTTACAGTTTTCCTAACATTAAGGGCTTTAAACAGTCCTGAAACAGTAAAAAGCTTCATACCCCTATGTTATGATATTTTAATGCTTTTTTCACCTAAAAATACCAAACAGGCAACATCATGTGGTGGTTTGTGGGCTTTTATTCTTTAACAGCTATATCATATTACAGTGCTTTATTTTGTAATATTTTGCTATCATATAAACTGCTACATATTATTGAAACATAAATACATTTAATAATTTACTGTGTTCAATGGTCATGTTTTAGAACTAATACAAGTCACTAATATTGTGAACCCATTTAAATGATGGTTGCTTACGTATCCAGTAATATTTATTAGTTCTATAATGAAAGTACACAGGCAAGCTAAATTACTTTTAGCTGACTAACCTTATGTTTCAAATTATAATTTTTGCTTACTAAATTATAACAGTTAGTATTAACAAAACCATTTTGATAATGAGGTATTTTTAATACTAATTGTTACAATAACCAATGACTAACTATACTATACTTAATTGTATAGACATTTGTTAAAAATTTAAATCTTGTTTCGTAGATACATTTGCTTCTGTGCTTCGCGAACAGATATTAGCTAGAACGGAACGTCAACAACAACGGATAAGGTGACAAAATATTACAAATTAGTATTTCATGAGATAGGTATAAATAGGGACTATGATTCAAAAGTAGACTTATTTCAGGATGATGAATTCAGATCCGTTTGATACAGAAGCGCAGAGAATGATTGCCGAGGAAATTCGTCAGAAAAACATCGAAGCCAACATGGAAGCAGCCATGGAGTACAACCCTGAAACATTTGGGACTGTTGTCATGCTGTACATCAATTGTCATGTAAACGGGTGAGCTTATCAACATAAACATATGATAAATAATTCATCACAGTTGACAGGAACACTCCTAGATATATTTATAATGTCTTGACTTGTTAGAGTTTCCAATTCGCCAAGAACCAGGTCCTGAAATATTACTACAAATGTTATTACCAAGAACCTAATTCACAGGGAAATATCACAGGTGTCAGTTATTTCTTTTAGATTGTATGTTAATATGATGCACATTGCCATTTTGCTCTAGATTCCCTGTGAAGGCTTTCATTGACTCTGGGGCTCAGACTACCATCATGTCAGCGGCTTGTGCTGAGCGATGTAACATTATGCGGCTGGTGGACACTAGGTAAGAAAACTAATAAATATTCATTATATGCATAGTAGGCAATCGATTTATCAAAGCAAAATACTGGCTAAGAAGCACTGCGAAATTTTAAAATAATTTTAAGGATTTTCCATATAAAACCGTCTTTAGTCAAAAATAGTGAAGAAAGAATTCCTCTTAGAACTTAAAAAAACCTAAAAGAGATATATTTATTACATTTCTTACTTTGTTTATGTTTATTGATAAACTGACACGTGTTCTGAAACAATAGAGGAGTGATTGATAAAAATAACATTATTTACATGACCAATTTAGATTCTGTCCTTCAGCTGACTTTCACTTGGCTTTGGCAGTTGTTTCTATGTTCGTTAAAACAAAGAAAGAAAGAGAAGTTGACATAAATATGTATTCTGTTATACGAATGCATTTCTCATAGATTTTGTCTTGTGTTAATTCCTTCTATGGCACTGTTCAGCTGGTTAACTTAAGAAACGATCATTATCCATGAATTTTTGAATGAGATTATGTCATAATTTTCTGTTAATTAGCTAGATAAATGTAAAAATTAGGTATTTAGTTAGATACTGTTAGATATTCCTCAATTAATATTTTAATCGAGGAATATGACAAACGCTAGTAATGTGATCGTATTTCAATAATTTTCTCTACAAAATTTTTGTTTTGTATCAGCATCCACTAATATTTTGAATTTTAAATGGGTAATGCTGTATCTTTTATTCAACAATTACACTTATCATAAGCCAATTCTATAAATAAGATACCGTTATCTTTGAATACAGAGTTTCTTTTTTTCTACAATATTTATCAATTACAATATTACGTACCACATTGCTGTGGTTTGCATTGTAAAATGGCGCGTATTCGAACTCCCTTAGTCTATTTCAGGTCAAACTATGATCGAACAACGAAATTAATCAACTAGCACAATCCAAAATGTACTAAAATTAAAATTAATTTTGGACATTCATTATACATATTGAAGTTCTACCCTAAAACTAGATCAATTCAAAGGTCTCTGTTATTAATTTTTGCCGCTTATGCGACTGTGTGTCATTAATTCATTATGCCAATAGCTCAATCGTTACTAATTAAATGCAAGGAATTTGCATAGAATGACTAATTATATTACTTAATACCCGTATTTAGTAATAATTTGGTTAATTACACATAATATGACATAAATTAATAAGCACATTAGGCTAATTGAATTCCGAACCTCAACTATTTACTAACCTGTTATCTTAATAAACTTGTTTTAAAAGCTGTTAAGATCGAATACGAAATATTGTAAAATATAACGGCTTTTGAAGAGTAGTCAACAAATCGAAAATTTAGTTATGTGTACTTACTTTGATACGCTGGGGAACCGAATTGCCGACCAGTTGTTTTTTCTATTAATATTCAATGAATTTAACATGTGGGGCCTAAATCTATCGGTATAGAGTACACAGAAATCTTGTCTGCTTCTGCCATTGTTTAAAAAAAGACTTGTATGTATTCATGGTCATAACATGACGCGAATTTATTCATCCCTTTTAAAATGGGGTCTTAGATAGTCGTAATTTGTTTTCAATGTTACATTTTGTTTTCATTACGAGGCAACTTCTCGAGTATTGTTACTCTTAATATCTGTAAGTTTATCTGTGAAAACTACAACACAATAATGGTTTGCTTGATAAGAATAGAAGATCACTGATTTGAACCCAACTAAATCATAATATCGCTTCATATCCAGTTCGCTGACTGATTATTTATTTACGCAATAATTAAAAGAGCATCATAAATCTACATTGAGCTTTTCTAACATCGATAAAAAAGGAAATATAAGAAAATTACATTACTCAATAGAACCCGTTGCGAAAAATGAAACAGTTTTTAATAATATACCGATTTGTTGTTTTAAATGTCGTTGACATATTACTAGTTTATGTATGTAAATCTAATGCAAAGTATCTACGTATTACGTCTGTATAAAATAACAGTACCAAAATAATTTCTCCTAGTATAATTGTACTGAAAGGGGAAAATATTTTTTTAATTTTCTGATAAAAATATATCGTGAAAATTTGACCCTTGGGTTATTCCTACACAAATGTGACCAACGTGACTTCATTTTATGTAATACAGAAGTATTGCCAATTCAAACAAAATTTAGTAAAAAGCTTACATCGGACTGTTTCTCTGAATACTGTTGAGAAATTTTGGTTCATATTTTGTATGGATTCTCCAAAAATATTGAAATTAGTTTTCGAGGCTTCTCGTCTCTTTTGTTATGGCTGCGTCATTTGAAAAGTTGGCCAGGTCACAAGATTGCATACTGTGGTAGTTTTCTTTTATGTTCATTATTATTCAAGGTGATTTTAAATATTATTCGTACTTTGCCCTAGACTAGACTAGACAGAATTTCTGTTTGACAGAACCCATAAATGTATGTCCATAGTGTAATAAACTTTAGCATTTTTAATTTTAGTATCATTACTGAGTATGATTTAGGTTATTGGAATTGCAAATAGGCAGTATATTTCAAAATTCTATGTAAAATTAATACAGCCTTACTACAAATATTATTTTACTGTCTGCCTACTTGAAACAGTACCAAAGAGATGGACTTGAGACAATATCAAAAAAGGTTTGCTCTCAGACATTAAAAACCTTCTTGGAAAGTACCTCAATTTATCGGCTTAAATCTGTACTGTTAATGTTCTAGAAAATTCCATCATTATCGAGTCAATAAGAGCTAAGTAAGACTCAAGCCCACTCACACCCATTTTTGCCTTTCAGACAGATTATTTTCAATAATAATATAAGTACGCTCTTATAGGTACTATACTATAGACGGTGTTTTCTTCCCTCCCACAATTGACCTTCCAAGTGTATTGTACTTTACTAATGAGTATCAATTTACTTTGTTGATTCATCTATTTTGGTAGACCATGAACTCTATTTGTATGTTTGTACCGTAATTGCTTTGCTACTAATTGTAGTACATAGATAGGTATATAAACAATATTACATATTTCATTCCACGAAGCGCCAGACCGTGCCACTTACGATACAATTACTTTTAATTATTTGTATTAGTTATTACTTAATTATTATGTTTTCGGCTTATTCACGTAACTATTTAACGAGGAACTTGACTAGTTTCAAGCCATGCTAGAATCTAGTCAAGTAGTATTCATGATCAGCATTCTGCGACCCGCGACGCGGCGACTGTCGCGCTGCTAGTGCTACTGGTCGAGTTCCTCGTCGAACGATTACGTGAGAAGCCGGAAACATAATAATAGTATGTCTCACGAAGGTTTTAATATAAATATAATTATTACTTATTAGGAAACGAGGATAATCCAAAACATTAATTCCATACTATGTCAGAGATTACGAATTACTTAACATCAAATAAACACAAATATAAAACTTAAAAAGTGTCAGTCAGTCTGTCGGCCAGTTTCCTCGCGAAGCTGTTCGTTTGTTCGTTCGTTGCTTTGTTCTAACCATAGTGTAGATTCATATGGAGAAGAACGAGCAATACACTCCATGATTACATTTTTAATCAATTTTACAATCCAGTTATTAGGTACATTGTTTTGTAGGTTAAATTATGTTAAAACAATAACACACAATCATCGTAATAACTTTTACTCATATTTAACATGTACCTAATTGTAATGAGTAAATATATTAAGAAATTAATTAATAATTTAATAATACTTATATATACTATAGAGACTGGCTAGTCTCATATAGTCTGAACCTAACCTGCGTGGGTTCAGAAAATATACGACTTGTTTCAAGAAAAGGTAGTCGGTGCCATTGCACTTTGCTCGGTTCGTCTCGCCGGAGGCACACCCATGCCTCCAGATTTAGTCTAACTACTCAGACCTTTATGAACATAATGGTCCTTTATATTCGATTCTTAGAATTTCTGCCTTTTATGCGATTTTATTCTGTTTCTACCATTTATATTCATAAATTTCTCCAATCTCACACACGCACATTTTCTTAGAAATCATTTATTAGGGATGTAGACAGGATATAAGAAGAAGACACCAATTTAGTAGTGACACGTTATTTTGATGTTGTCGAAATAAAAAACCCAGCAAATTAGATATAGCTAATTAAAATTTGGATAATTGGCTTTGCCTTAGTGTACATGGCCCACTTAACTTTTACGAATACAAGCACGTGTCCAAAACAAAAAAAAATATTTAAAATACTTAAGTAGCCTAATACATATCTACCAGAAGGACATAAAAGAGGTTAGGTAGCTGCCTTACTCATTTGTCAAAAATAATTAAAAATATTTATCTAATCGTAAACATGCTGGATAAATGCATGACTGAGAGACTGCATGGTTGGTGCGGTGGCTGGGCAACCAGCTGCCGTGCAACGTGTCGCGGGTTCGATTCCCGCACGGAACAACACTTTGTGTGATCCACAAATTGTTGTTTCGGGTCTGGGTGTCATTGTGTATGTGAACTTGTATGTTTGTAAACGCACCCACGACACAGGAGAAAATTCTAATGTTAGGCAACGTTATTATTAAAAAAAGTTCTTGTAACAATTTGCTTGCGTCTTATTTTATAACCAACTTATTTTCAAACCGGATGAAGGCGTCGGGATGAGGAACAGGGTTAGATTATGGACTGGAATACACACACATAGGCAACATTTTTCCCAAGGGAACACTGGCAAACCGCTGGTAGAAGCTAGATTTTATACTGTCTAGATTTGAAAATACAAGACAACTGCGTTACTCTTTCACACAATAAAGTGTACACGCCGTCAATCAGCAGTATAAAAACAATCTGTTGTAGACAACACGTGCTCTGTATTGTATTAAAATATACCTACAATAAAAAATGCTCAGTAAAATATCACCTGTTAACCCTTACCAGTCCACACTGTTGAACATGTATCTGTCGGCAGTACAGTCAGTGTTAAATTCGTATCTTCGCATTACAGTGCACGGTGTTCTTTATGATGTTCATGTCCAGCGAACTGTATCCAACGTTTTTATTGGCGCACGCGTGTGCCAGCTAATTGAAACGCAGGTCGCTTTGTGCGTACGCTATCGTTCTATAAATACTCAGACGTGATAAACACCCTCCATCTTGTTCTAGATGGGCAGGCATCGCGAAGGGCGTGGGCGTGCAGAGAATCATTGGCAGGATCCACATGGTTCAGATGAGAATCGAGAAAGATTTCCTCACCACATCTTTCTCCGTGCTTGAAGAGCAGCCTATGGACATGCTGCTCGGTTTAGACATGCTCAAACGTCATCAGGTAATAAAATAATTTTCCTCGTTTCATTGAAGACTAGAAACCTGTAAGGAATTGCATTAATGTGTGTGTGTGACCTTTGCAGTGCAATATAGATTTGAAACGGAACGTTCTGCGCATCGGCACGACGGGTACGGAGACGCCGTTCCTGCCCGAGTCGGAGCTGCCAGAGTGCGCTCGGCTGTCGGGGTACTCGGAGGACGAGATCGTGAACCAGTCCATGCGGGACCACGAGGACCGACAGGTCAAGGAAGCTATGGAGAAATCAAAGCAAGGTGGGCGTGCCAAAAAGAAATAACAAGTGCGATTCGATATGAAAAATTGTGGAGATGTGATTCGTTTTTGCACCGTAATAAAAATAGTAACGTATTATTTAAAACAATAAAAATCGCAAAACTAATCCCTTGTTTCTGTGTAGTTGATTGCATGTGTGGAGTAGCTAACGGCTTGTCGGTAACGCGTGCATTTTTGTCGGGAAAGTCAGGTCAGTGAATGGAAACGGTAATGAAACGAACAAGTTGAGGATCGAATGATACATGGGATGCCGCGTCGATGCATGGGGTATTCTTCCACTCGACTGTAGTTGTATTGAATCTTACATTGCTAGTATTTTTGAAATTTTACTTTTACTAACACTGGTTGATTTTCTATTAATATTATTTTCATTCTTTAATTTCCTTCACTGTACTTTTTCGAGGAGGTAAGTGGAAGAGCAAGAGGAGAAAGGGTTTGTGACATTTTGATGTTTTAGCACTATAAAGCTTTTTTAGTGTCAATAAATTAAACTAGTTTAATCATAAAGTTTTTGTTTCAACTAAGCCTTAATGTTTCATCTATTTAAATTAGTATTTTGCATTCAGTTTGTAGAGATTATTAAAAAAATGTATTCAATAGTTTAGTACAATTAAAATTATCTTCTTTTTTTTCTATAGATGTGGTTTTACTCTGTAATAAGTAATAAAGTCTATGTCGTTTTATATTTGTTAATAATAATAATTTACGGACGTATCTATCTATTGTATGAATGATTGCTGTAGTTTAGATTCTAGTATGTATTTAGTATATTTCATGAGTTTTAATTATAAGTGAAAGTTATTGTGTATAGGAGCTCAAATACACATTCTAGTAAAAAATATGTTAGTGGTCCAGATAAAAATAGCAAGGAGAGGCAATTTGATGCAACAATGTATGCTGAAGGCCACGGGACAATACATTTGATTGAGCGGTTGCATCTTCGTACTTGGAACCGCTAAATGGGCCGGACATACCGACCCTGCACTGCATTCAATTCCAGCAATCAACATTGACCTTTATAACAACAGGATAAAGGCAATTTTTATAAACAGGATTGTACGTAGTTGGCGAACTTGAGCATGTTTATGATTTGTTATGTAACGTAATTTAACATTGAACAGACGCAGCTTCGCACCAGGGTTTTAGACCGACTACTAGCGGCCAGTCATCGTCAGTGCCAATGCAAATCAATAACCAGAGGATGGGTATGTATATTGGCGAGACAACCTCTTCATTTGTTAGGGATCGCTTAGTATTGTGGCAGTGATGTATTCACCGTATTTAGTTTTATGGTGGTGGTTGTTCTTGAGTTAATAGAAAATTAACAGTTTGTTCGTCTTTTTCCAGTTCTTGGTGATCCCAGCCAGACTATTCTGCCGAATGACAACTTCGGCGAGGCTGAAGTAGAAGAAATCATGTCACTGGGATTTACTAGGGAGCAGGTATAAACTTTTTAATACGGTTACTTTAAATATGTAGGGTGCCTTGTTATTAAAACTTAACCTAAGAAGTCGTAGACCCGATAATTTTCAACGAGAACCTTTATTACAATAAGTTTTAATGTTAATTTGAAATTAACCTGTAACTCGAAAGTATTAGAAAGAAAAGAAGAAACAGTATGTGAAACAATATTTAATGTAAAACCTCAATGTACCATATACTTGGAAATAAATGACATTCATTCATTCATTCAGGCGATATGTTTTTTTATTGCCTCTTGTAAATAGTTTCACTAAATAAAGACTTATTTTTTTATCTTCTAGACTATTAACTTGAATTGTTTACGTTTCAGGCGATCGTAGAGCTGCGCCGCTTCAACGGTGACAAGACTCAGGCCACGGTGGCTCTCTTCGCCAAGTCTCTGAAGTTCTAGGCAGTCAGCACCGACCAACCACGGCTGAGTCATATTGACTACATTTCAATTATAATTATCATACTAAGATATGAATTTAATATTATACATTTTAACTGTAGTCTTCGAAAACATCGTTTAGCTAAAAACATATTTTAGCCCGATTTATATATTTGGTAATCGTATTTTACTGGTAGTAGGTAGGTACCATAATATTATAACGTAGGTACCTGTAGATTGCAAGTAAATAAGTAGAATCAACACCATATTGATGATTGAAGCCTTTTCTTTGATCATCATATTATTTTTACATACAGTTTGTATTGAATACCGACTGATGCTATACATTATATATTTATATGTCTAAAGCTCGGGTTTTTGCATTTGCATAAGTTGCCTATGCAGAACAATTTATTGTGTGTAGTTTGATCAAATCGATCACTAGCGTGATTGAGCCTCGGCGTCAAAGACTTATGCGCATGTGTGTAGTGCTAGTTTGTGACCGCCATATATGTTAAGGGATTGTCTCAAGACTTTAAGTAAGTGGAATACCTAGCGTATAATCATATTTCAACTCCATTTTGTGCTGTAATTTGCGGAAAACATCGTAGTTGTAGGCATGTACCGACTACTTTACAATATAAAAGTAATAGGAATTGTGTTAGCCGTGATTGTACACAACAAAAAGACTTGCATTATCCGTCTTTACATCCAGTAATTTGAAATACATGTGAACACAAGTATTACAGTCATCTGTAGAATTCATGTTTGAAGTTGACCAAACAAAATAGCGTATACAAACACTTAAAAATAAATAAAATCGGAGATGTTTTTGCAACGTTTTAATACTTTTTTATCGAACTATTTGTAGCGAATTAGACACAAAATGGACAATAATAAAACATATTTAATTTTAAATATTAGTATATCAGTAATGTGCAGCATAATCTTGTAACCCATGTCATATAATGGATTATTAAACGTATTCATTATTATAATGGATTGTAATATTTAATGGAATTTTGATCTCTAGGGATTCTTTTACCGTAATGCTGTATTAGACTCGTCTATATAAACCAGCTACCTTTAAATTATACTTTAATCTGTATGCATTTTATAATTTAAATGGGTTATCAATGGGTTTAGCGAATTTACTTTATCAAAGTACTAGTTTAGCAGTCTACAGTTTTTTAATATAAAATAGTTTCGTATGTAATTTTAGGCGATATTTTATATGTTTTCATGAATAAAAAGAATTAGTTGTATTCCAAAATGTAGTTTCAATTATTTTTCAATAACTTTAGTGAATCCTGTACCTAACTCAAATATAAACGCCGTTGATCACTTGAATGAATAATGTCACTAAACAGATTATGATGTAGTTATAACGCCATAACATTTCGCTCACAAGTCTCAAGAGATCTTAGCGTTGTAGCTAAGATCGCAACAAATTAATTATTGTCTTTGTTGGGTGTTGCAAATAAAGGCTAATGATGTTAAAATGTTATACAAAGGCTTGTAAAGGGGTCCCTAATATCTCTCGTCAGAGGTGTGGAACTTCAGTCGGAGCACTCCCTTGTATTCTGCCGCCGGCGCCCATGGTCATATGACTCGAGATCCTTTTTATTTTATGAAGTGTGGGTAAAGATATGTTCATACATACATACACAATTGTATCAAGAAATGAAACAAATTTTACGTCCATATATAACTTAGTATAATATCCACGTTTTACAAATGTATAACAAATATCATAAGTACCTACGTACAATGGAGATCAATGAACTTAATTATCTACTATTAGACGATATCAGGTTACGAATTACTCGCATATACTGCGTAGTACGCCTGCGAGACGTATCTAGACAAAACACCCACAAGTTACACATATATTATAGAAAAAATAAATATTGGAAGTCCTCATACAGGTTCAGGGTTATAAGAAACACGCGAGCCAATAAACAAATCGTATCAGTTGAAAACAGATTTCGTTAATTAATTCGCATAATCATCGTAGTTACAATAGTTACAATCGCTTGTACAATATCCATACAAACGTCAATACATTATAAATTTGAGTTTACTTCACTGATATGCTACTCGCTAAACCTACACGGTGTCATCAGCATCAGGCGGTTGGCTGGCTAATTTATTTGCCATTGCTGTTAAAATGTCGGTCAGGCGAGCGAATCTTTGGTTCGGTGTAGTGAGTGCTCCTCTCTCGCCCCATAAGAAGTTGATGTGGAACTCTGTTCTGAAGAGTTCCAGGAGTGTAGGATCCAACACTGGTCCTAAAGAAGACATCTCCTGTACGACTGTCCTGGCGTTGCGCTTGAACATATCGATTTGGTTGGGGAAGTGCCTGGCTGCGTCCAAATGAGCTGCTGTCGCGTTAAAGTCAAACTCGAGACTGTTCATCAAGCTACTAGGGAATGTATCATCTGGCTGCATCAGTCCTCCCCCTTCACCGTCTGTGAAAGCAAATAATTGAATATCAAAAAAGTGTGTTTTGTTATGTTATGTATGAAAACGACGACGGAGTAGGTAACTGGCGCTCTATAGTTATTGCCCTCTCCAGGAGCACAGGGGACGAAAACTGACATTTATGTGTAACTATAATCATTATTTATTTCCCATTACCGAAAGAACGGTGGCGTGATGCGAAAGTACGTAATAACTCACCAAAAATATGGAAACTCAGCACTGGCGGGAGGACATATGGAGTCGTTGTGTTCGGTGGTAAAGGGTTGGTGCCCTCGTTCATACTCTTGAAGCAAGGCCTTAGTTTAGCCTCGAACATGAAAGCGTTGTCAGTGTACATCCTCCTCAAAATATTCCAAGCATTCTCTAAACACTCCACCTGATAACGAAAAAGAAAAATTATTGTGATTAAGAAAGAAGGTACCTTTATAAATGTCTAGTAATTCGTTAAAAATCTGTAATGTCTACCTGTGGCATACACAAGCCAAACATGATAGCAGAAAATCCGTAGAGATTTCCGAGAGCAGTTTTTGTTTCAATAGCCAGTAAAATCCAGTCATTGATAGTGTCAGCGCGCTGTCTATCCGTTTGGCAGGTCAATATTGTTACCGCAATAAGCAGGCGGAAAGTCTCAATCCTGAAAAATAGACGTGTCGTTAAGTTTCATTATTTTCAATCAGTTTAGTCACTATTCATGAACGTTTGATACCTCTCTATTATATCTAAACGCAAAGGTCGCCCCTGTGGTAAAAACAATAGCTCCAATCCTGATGCCGTCCTGTCAAGACCTTCAATTTGAATGGCATCCTCGAAAAAGAAGAACAAATCGACCTTTGTCATGTGATTTGCTAAAATCCTCGGTCCTGAAGTACGCAGTAACAATTTAATCGTATGCAGAGTCTCGGATTCAAGAGGTTTCGTAAGACCTGTCGGTATAATTTGTGATTGGAAGTTTTCTAAGTTTATTCTTGAATCCACTACGTAATCCAAATTTTCAGACTGCAATAGTTTAGCTTCTGTGAGTTCATAATCAAATTGTTGTTTTATTGTAGGTGTTACAAGATGGTAATCAGATTCCATCCTGGATTTATTTGGATCACTGTGCGCTGAACTCTGAGTAGAATCTCCGGACCCATTGCCTGAATCGGACCCTGAAACCTGGTACAGTCGTTGAAGTTCTAATCTTCTATCGTCAGCTTTCGGGCCATCGTATCTGGCAGGCTTGGCTGGAGGACTAGTAGGGAGATTGGCATCCCACGTACTTGAACTGGAATTTGATTCACAGAAGTTTTTGCCAATCATGCTCGTTTGACTTTGGATCACTCCATCAGCGCTAGCACTTTTACCATGCGTGACATGTTGTCCCATGTCTATAGGAGTTAGAGAATGAGATCGTTGCTTCTTGAAAGGCACTCTCAGCTGCATACCTGGCTTCGCTGCAAAATGACTGTATAGACTGTACGGGTTCCCGTACGAGCCATCTGCAACCGGAGAAACGACAGAACTAATGTCATCGTTCTGAATATAATTCGTCAAGGGTGACACTCGGTTGGCTGGATACTGGATGCGGGCACCAGAAGCGGCTGATATCGGTTTTCCGGATCCCACATATGAGGTAATGAGATCTGCGACCGTGTCGTAAGCTTCATCTTCGAATTGGTATTGATGTCTTTCGTAAACCGTGTCTGGGTGAACAACGATCTGAAAAAGTGATCATGTAAGTAGTTAAGCCATAATTCGCTATGTACTTAAGTAGTTGCACTATGAAAACTAGATAATTCGACAATGTAAACGTAAACTTGGTACAATATCTTTACCCGTTGTATAACGAAGTGCAAATGTTGTCCATTAGACCTACAGCTGAGCACGTAGTTGTCAGGTTGTGACGATGAATCTCTCACGAGGAATTCCCGGTCCTGTTGCAACAGATTTTCCGCAGCTGTTCTGCTGAGCGCGCCGTGGTACCAGCCGTGAGATATGATCTGATCAGATGGCAAGGAGAACTCCCACTCAAGCAAGCCTGACGTAGTCATAGCATTAGGATCCTGGAAAGTGAATAAAAATTAATTATAGGTATTATTAATCTCTAAGACTCCATCTCTATCACTTTTATACGCACAAGACACAAGACTTCGTTTTTGTTGTGAAATTCAAAGTTAGATCCTACATATATTTTCGTTTCTTAGCGTAACTTGGAAACATTGATCAACAATCCATCTACATCATAATAAATGGACCTGGCACTTTAATAAAATTCGTATTTGAATAAATTTTTGTAAAGAAATCCTAATAGCTACGAGTCATCTGGGTATAGGCAGCGAGGTAACCACGAACAACTTATAAAACAATCGTATGTCAACAATTGAACACATATCACACGATTTTTATTTCCTATAGACTTTGTAGATTTATAATACCATTTATAAATTAACAAACATGCGTACAATCGACTTACCATGTTTATAAGTCACTTTATACACAAAAAGAAACAAAATAACATTTATGTTTTGGCAGTGGTCGAAATTGTGAGCCGGCAATTTCACCCCTCGGCGGGGTCGTCGTTCGATCGATAAAACTACCCGCCCATTTTTAACTGTATGTTGGTAGCAAAATGGTTCCAACTTCACGTATCACGATTACGCATGCGCGCTGTATTCCATTTTGATTGGAGATTTGAATTTATTTTATTAAAAAGTATATTTTATGTTACTTATTTTATTCTTATATAATTTCTGTTATATTTCAAGAATTAAAGGGAATTAAAAATGTTCTTATATTCTTATCCCAAATATAATTTTATAACACTGATTCCTCGTCAAACTGCCTACTGGAAGATGCCCAGAGTCTGTTTATGAGGGTTTGTCATAATAAAGCAATGTGGTTGATGGCAGATAGGAAAAAAAATGTCATCAGCACCCCACACCGCCCATACTCTTTCTGTGGGTGTAATCCTAAGATTGTCTGAAGAACTGAGCACACATTCAGAGATCAGGAAAAATCAAGCCAAGCCAAACATGAACATTATGATATCGTAAACCCTTCGCTTCGGTTATCTGAGTGTTGATGGAAATATATCAACGACGACGAACCTATTATTTATTTCTGATGATTAATTAACATAATACATAACATCACTCCTTTTATTCCTGAAGGACTAGGCAGAGGGGTAGGCACATTACGACAATTAATGTCACTGTACAATGTAACACTCACTTTTCACTGTTTATGTTATGTGTCCCATGCAGATAGAGGTGAGCCTATTAATTACTACCGGACAATACCATACACCGTGCTACTACTAAATATTTTTAAAAAGAAACCAGTAAGTAATACTTTGCCCAACCCGGGAATCGCACCTGCGACCCCTTGCCCAGCAGTGGCACTTGCGACTGTCCAGTCTAATTAACTTTTTTTTTGCAATGCTGCCTGTCTTTTGGGCACCCTACCTCACGATAGCGATGAGGATAATTTTTTTTGATGCCTTATGATAGCGTTTTTTTTATATGTAAATATTTAAGTTCATAGTTATTTATATTTTAAGTTGTATATATTTTCATTTAGTAATAGTTAATATTAATTTTATTTATGTCTATTGCAGAGTAATTTTAATAGTACCTAAATTAATTTACCTAAAAAAATCTTCTCTTCATCCTTGTTTTGCCGCATCATCATAGCCCTTAATTACTATTGGATTAATTTGGCAGAGGCAAACATGTATGAGGCACGTACCTACCCCAATCATATGCCGTTAGAAAGTTTTTTTCGTAACTATCATTTGTTATTATGGGAGCTAGTCTCAATTCGTTGTGGGGAAGGGGAAAATGTTATAGTTACCAGCCTTCAGATGATTAAGGTCGCAGAGAGTTGCTGAAATGCAGGTCAAGTGACCTGCCGACTATCTGAAAGTCATTGAGGAGGCCTATTGTCGACGGTGGAAGTCTTGTGGGTGATACCTAATGATGATATTGTTTTGTGTAACGAGTAGTTGAAGTTCTACAACGTAATTATTTATGTTGTTCGATTTGAGACTGATTTAATACGTGTTAAGACTCATCTGATACTCTGATAATCAAGATTAATGGTTTAAAAGTAATGTTTTCATTTTTATTCAACGGGATTATTATGGCGTCCTAAAGTCAGAATGGTTTTATTGAGGAAAAGAAACAGAGCTATAGATACGAGGTGTCTAGCGAGATCTCATTCCCTCAGCGGAACCCCACTGGGCCCCCAGGTCATATTGTTTTGTTATTAAGTACTTGTAATTTACATGAAGTGTTAAACGTTATCTGTTAGGTTTAGGTACTTTTATCTACTTGTGAAAATAAACACTTCGAAAAGTACCTACAAGATGTTCACAGGGTACTGTAACTTTTATCAACGATCACTTTTTGTAAAACCATTGGTGTTTAGGAGTGAGTAGCTACAAATGGTTCTTTAGTAGAACAACGAAATGAGGTTCTTGATAATGAAAACAATCATATTTTTTGGACTTTTTCTTTTTCTTTTTGTGTCTTATTTATTTACAGGGTTTTTTCAGAAGAGAAAAAGTCACCCCGATTATTGCGTACACGAATAAGTTATTTACAAAACAAAAGAACTTATAGAACTAACATAATCTATACTCTATCTATATCTATACATATAATAAATCTGTAGAAAAGTAATTTTTGTACATTGAAGAAATTGACAAAAAAAATAGCCAGCGTGTTAAAAGATAACCAACAGAACCCATTTCCATCATTTTTAAAAATTTTGTCTATTTGTCTGTTTGTTTGTGCGCGCATCACGTAAAATCTACGAATTCAATGCAGCCATTGCTTATATACAAAAATTCTACGCAGCTTGAGGTATAACTTAGTTTTTGTTTCATAGAAATCGGTTCACTCTATCAGAAGATATGATTAATTTAGTGAGTTCAAGAAGTAAAATATTACAACACGCAATTCAGTATACTACTCGAAACGACTCCTTTGGAAAATTGGTTTCGTTTGGTCATTGGTTTAAAGTCTAGATACTACTAGATATTTTAAACAAGTAGAATAAGCTATAGGTATTTTGAAATCTGGCCTTTTTTTAAGGGGGGAAAATCATCCAATGACTTCTCCCGCCTGAGTGAGGCGGGAGGGAGTGTCAGACTCTTACTGACTAAAAACCACCCCGTTCCTACTCCTGCACGTCGAGCCGGAGCCCCGGTTACCCGTTAGGTTTTCCGCGACTCCAAATCTGCATCGGCCCTGCTGGGCCCCATCTGTGGTGGTCTGATGGTTCTTTGAGGCGCGCGCGGAACGCGACGCGCCGTACGCTCGGGTCTGTTTCGGACGGGGAGCCACCCATGCTCGCCATCCGCAGGCCCGCGCTTACGTTGGCCGGAGATCGTCCTGCGATCCCCGACGCCCGGTGTGTCCTTCGCGATGGCTGGGTTGCGAGGAGGCAGCGCTTCGCATGCCTCCTCGCAGACGGCATCCCAGTCCCCCTTGCTCCGCATCATGGCCTGCACTAGGCCCGGACCCGAGAGGTCGCCATCGCCGATCACTTCCCTGAGGGCAGCAAGGCGGTGCTCAGCCCACGCAGGGCATTTCACTACAGTGTGTTCCACCGTGTCCTCAGGGTGGTCCTCGCAGTGATGACACCCGGGCGTTTCCTCCCGCCCCGTCAGACACAGGTACCTCCTGAAACTTCCATGTCCGGTGAGGACCTGCGTCAGGCGGTAGGTGAGGACGCCGTAGCGTCTCACAAGCCACTCCTCAAAGAGGGGACTTACTGCTGCAATGGCAGCCAGCCCAGCTGTCGTAGCTCTGTCGGGTTATTTTAAATTAAAACAGAAGACTGCACAATTAATAGGTTTAATTACTACATATCAGAATCAAGACCGGCTCGCACCGATACAAAGAAATGCCCGAATGCTATGGCTGGCGTGTGTATGAAGAAGAAGAAGCGCGGCGCTCGCGCGGACGTGGGTTTTTATACCCTCGTCCCGCGCGTCGCCGCCTCTATGGTCGATGGCCATACTAATGCGCCGACACCAGCCCTCGATTGCGACAGTCGTTGCTGCCATTCCGCCGTGAGATCGCGCCGGAGCTCTTTCCACCACGCACTTATCTGGCGCGGCAGCGGAGTTTCGCCCCGATGACGTGCCTCCGCGCGCATGCGATACACGCGCGCGAGCACCTTCGCCTCCCGATCCCACGGCGGTAATAATCCGGCAAGGAAAATCTGGCCTTTACGGTCGCCTTAAGTTTAAAACGTTGTACGAACGACCTTTTTGTAACATATGTATTTGAACGAAACCGAAACCTACCAAAATCAGTCCAGTATACAAGTAATTGTAGTTGTAGTAAATACGTATCATCCCTAAAGTAGAAGTATTTACTTCTGAGTTTGAATAGTGGCAATCGTTATAGTGAGTGTAACGAATTCGTTAAGTCGTGACCACAAACAGACGATTTGCTATCATACGAGACTATTCGACGCACCGATCTTTAAAATTTTGTCGGTTTTGTATATTGCTTTGATATTTTCCTTAAAAATGCCTCAAAGAAAAAAACAAAAACCTTTTTGTATAATGCTCCGGGTAATTCAACCGCTAATCTATTACATAGGGAAGCATTAACGTAATCAACTAGAGGTAGATACCAATATTACCAAATAAAAATATACTATAGTCAGGATCTTTATTGACAAAATATAGCCCACTATTATCTAAAAGATGTTTTGTTTTCGTCAACCACGCGAACGAAGTCGCGGGCACAGCCAGTACTTATATTATATTTACAACTACGATTAAACTTATCTTTATACATATAAAAGCAAGGACTAGGATAGGTATTAATAAAAAAGAAAGTATTTACAATTAAAATTAACATGAGAAAATATAGAACAATAGGATAGAGTAAAAAAAAAGAACAATCAATATAGCCCACTATTATCTAAGAGATGTTTTGTTTTCGTCAACCACGCGAACGAAGTCGCGGGCACAGCTAGTACTTATATTACCTATATTTACAACTACGATTAAACTTATCTTTATACATATAAAAGCAAGGACTAGGTTAGGTATTAATAAAAAAGAAAGTATTTACAATTAAAATTAACATGAGAAAATATAGAACAATAGGATAGAGTAAAAAAAAAGAACAATCAATATAGCCCACTATCATCTAAGAGATGTTTTGTTTTCGTCAACCACGCGAACGAAGTCGCGGGCACAGCTAGTACTTATATTACCTATATTTACAACTACGATTAAACTTATCTTTATACATATAAAAGCAAGGACTAGGTTAGGTATTAATAAAAAAGAAAGTATTTACAATTAAAATTAACATGAGAAAATATAGAACAATAGGATAGAGTAAAAAAAAAGAACAATCAATATAGCCCACTATTATCTAAGAGATGTTTTGTTTTCGTCAACCACGCGAACGAAGTCGCGGGCACAGCTAGTACTTATATTACCTATATTTACAACTACGATTAAACTTATCTTTATACATATAAAAGCAAGGACTAGGTTAGGTATTAATAAAAAAGAAAGTATTTACAATTAAAATTAACATGAGAAAATATAGAAAAATAGGATAGAGTAAAAAAAAAGAACAATATAACATTATTAACAGCCGGAATATTCCCCCTGGAGTCCACGTTGAACGACAACTCGCCACCTGCACCCACTGGCTCCCCGTAACTCTGTGCGATGTCGTCGTAACGCATCAAAAATAATATTGTTGAATGGATGGTCGGACGACAAGATAGTAGCTACTCAAATAGTAGGTAACTAGCCTTCGATCACCTGAAGTGGTCTCATTCGGTCCATCTTCTTTGTAAAGCACCTGGAAAAATAAGGTTACAATTAATGTTATTCATAATTTTTTATACCCTCTATTAATATCCCCGAAGTGTAGACATAACATTAAAAATATAATATATATACTGTTTTCACAGACTTCAAATTCAGACTTCATGTTCGGATGATTGTTTGTTTGTGTTTGTTCATCGATTACTATCCTATTTGTGAACAGATATTCAAAATCCTTATTTTGATTGAAGGGTTATAAGTACTCTCGTTTTATTTGTTAATACATTCGTTTTCTACGGACTCTTGGTCCGTGCCCTTAACACACAATATATACAATTTTGTATTCTAGTCAATGTTTATGAGAACCTTATGTCGCATACTACAAAAGTATCTACAAATAACCACAATTATGTTATAATAACTTACTACAAGAATACTTACATACTATGATTGTCTCCTAAATCAGCCCACCACGCTGGTCCAGCAGAAGGCACAGTTTCGGCGTTTGTGGCAATTGATCCGATCAACCTTTTTCTTGGGAACGGAGAAAGCCATCCACTGTAGAACATTAATAATTACGTGTGCATGACTTACAACAATAAAAAAATACAGGTATGTTATGAGCTACGACTGTGTGCCATGTAATATGGGGTGACCTTATTGCCATGTATGTAGGTATCCGGCACAATTCCAGACTAGTGCTACTACTGAGAAATTTTCGATAAAACCACAATAACACTGTCCGAACTGGAAATCGATCTCTTGCTCGACAGTCGCACTTGCAACTCGAGATTGTGCAGTCAATATACAATTTGCATTTACAATTACACAAATAAAAAAAGAAACAAGAAAGTAAGACCCTAAAAATAAGTAGGTAAGTATGTAAAAATAAATATATAGTTGGTACGTACCTAACTTAGTAAGAGAGCAATTCACTATCCGAGATCCACCGCTATCAGCATTGGCCATTGGTACTCGACGATCAGTCAGTACTTGGCTTGTTCGTTCGATCGATTTCTCAGTCATCGAGTGGTTCAACTATGGTTTCTTGGTTGTAAAGATGTTTGCCCTTAGTGAATCGCACTCATGACGTAGTGCTGAGACTAGGGCGGTTTGTTACCGCCACCAGGCGGCCTGTTCTCCTTCATTCTGAGCATCTTACACTCATCAGCACATTTGGTGGTGATGACTTTCCTGCAAAGCAATATAAATATTCGTTGAAATTGTCTTAAAACTAACCCAAACCAATAGGGATGATAACAGGGCATGAAAATTAAAAATGTAATTAGTCCGTCAGTTAGGCAATGAAAAAATATTATACACGTATTTTTTTATTTTGTTGTATAATAAAATGATACTTAGATATCGATACGAATCAAAGTTTAGGAGTGGGGGCTAAAACGTCATTTCTACGTATAAAATGTAAATAGAAGTGACGTCACGCGACATTTCAAATCAATATAACGTCGAGAGTATTCGTTTCTGTAAAAAAATAAAAAATACGTGTCTAATGTTTTAAAATAATCTACCAGACGGACATTAAAATAAAAATTAGTCATCTACCCTTGGTCCCTGATAATCAATATTAGAAGCAACTGGCTACCAATTTCGATTTGGTGTTCTTACATAGCAAGTGTTCACCACAAGTTGAAAACGGTAATTTTATTATTTTGCTAGGTTCTTCTACGCTGTGCGGTTTTACCCGCTCTGCTAGGCGCCTATTGATTATAGTGTGATGTTTTATAGGTAGCCTGTAGCCTTCCTCGATAAATGGGCTATCCAACACAAAAATAATTTTTCAAGTCGGACAAGTAGTAACCTATCGAAGTAGTAACTTATCCACCCTTAATACGGTAGTTGACAGATAAGTAGTCAAATTCAATACTTTTATTGAAATGTCAAAAACGATTCTTTTCTATGAATTTTGTATCGGATCACAACTTATGACGTCATCATATTTCTCCGTCAAATAGCATACTTATTTCCTTAAAATTAGCGAGAAAAAATCCAAAAGTAGGTAAATTGTCAAATCAATGGATGAGAGTAAGATTATTTTTTAATTATTTATTGCATTGAATAGTTGAAACAATTTATTTTAAACCTAGGAATCTAGCCAATTGTAAGATTACACTCAACCTGATAACTAAGCACCGAGCTAGGTAAATCTGACCGAAATACCGACTGAAAAAATATTTATTAATCCAACTCACCTGATCATACTCTTCTTCAATTTACACGCTTTAAACCGCGTTTGGACCGTCGTGACGATGTCGTCTACAATCTGCGCGTCTAAGCATGCCTTGACTGGCCTATCTAAGAAGGCTGGTGATCTTTTACCAGTCAAGGAATGCGTTGCAAGCACCCTGTAAAAAAATAATATTACAGTGACGGTTTGTGTATTTGGAACAGGTCTGGAATAACACATGGGGTACCTTTTGCGCCACGGGAACGCAAAAGCTAGTGATAAAGCCTTTGAGTACCGTCATTATACACACAATTTAAGAACAATAGGTTGCCGGTGTGTGTTTGACAGTTTAATGGTATTACATAAAGATAATAATAAAGGTACATTAACCCCATAATATAAAAGCAAAGAGGTAAGAAACTATAATAAAGATCAATGGAATAAAACTACTTACTTGGCCCTAAGTGCTGATTTTTCAATCAACAGATAATTTTTATCTGTAGAACACCATGTACAAAATTGACATTTGGCAGTTTTAGTATGCAAGAATTGTCAAATAAAATACGGTATTCAAAATTATTCCTCCGACCCCACCAATAAAATTTATCGGCGTTGAAAAAACAGCCCTTAGAAGGATAGAAGCCGAATGTCGAGAGTGTTAGCATTGTATGTGGATATGATTTATTAAAGTTTTATTACTTACGATTGTGAGAACAACGCCCGTAGTAAGGACCTGGTTGCCACAGTGTAGGAATCCCATTTGACTCTCAAAAATTTCCTAAGAGGCACCAATGTTTGGCCAGAACCTATAGGCACCTAGAAATAATAGTATTATTATTAAATTCAATTCAGTTTTATATACCCACTAAGATAAGACGAAGTAAAATGGAGGCTTTGGATTTTTTTTATTTTGTTGTGGGTAATATGCAAATAGGTATGTTCTTCAAATTTGCATTTTTTTTTCGAAAAGTTAGGTGATATCTATGGTTTATTGGTAGCGTCTAATTCACCTAAATCAAAATTCTGAAACTGAAATAAGTCTGATAAATTTCGATTAATAGAAACTTATTTTTACAATTCTAACTGTGGCATTATTATTGACCGCGGCATAACTATTATTTACAGGTTTGATGCGTACCATCGGTTCCATTGCCGCGGGTTCCATGGGTACCTCGGGTTCTACGGGCACCAGTGGCTCCAAGGGTGCTTCGAGTACCATAGGTTCTACCAGAGGAGCGACGTGCGGCATAGGTGCCACGGCCTCAACGGGAACCTGGTCTACCGCGGGTTCCACGGGCTCAATGGGTACCTCAGGCACCGCAGGTTCGACGGGTTCTATGGCTTGAATGGCTTCTGCGGCTTCCACGGGTATTGGTTCCATGGCTGTGTACAAAACAGCATGTTAAATACATTAATTCAGGGTGGCCGTCGACACCATTCACGCAATTAGTTTCGACATTTTTCGTCTCCAGCTAACATGATGAAAAATTACGCTACATTGGTACAGTTTAAAAAAGAGAAGAAATTAACAAAAAATTGTATCGTCATCATATAAATTTATGGTCTAAATGTGGCGGTAATCTGAACACGCCAAAGAGCAAAGAAATATGTATCTATGCAATTACTCACGCGCAAGGGCCGCTGTAACAACAGGACTGTGCTTCAATTTCTTTCCTCAAGATGCTAATTGTAGATCTAATGCGCACACGCAACTATTCTACTCCAGATTGTTAACCATTGTCGATGAAAATCTTTGTACACAGACATTTAATCACTTCGAAGTGTAATTTAAGGATAAAGACGGAATGCCGTTTTACATTGGTTTTTATAGCTCGGCTTTTTTCAAAATACCTTCTTTTGCATCGATTTTTATACGATTTTTATATTATTGTGAGGTTAGACCCTCAATAATTGTTTTGTTTTATTTTTTTTGAAATATTTTTATACTTCCCTAGTTAATTAATTTATATTGTAGGTACTTTAGTACTTATACCTACCTTTGTTTTTTTTTCAATTGAATTAAAATACGTGCATATTAACTTGTAAATAATACTTTTGACATTTGTATTCTTCCTTTTCCCTTAATCCCTTTTCCCCTGGTCACGGCATCACGCATGATTGGCTGGACCGATGTAACTTATTCTTTTTTTGTTGTAGGTATTTGTAATTATTAGGAAAAGGTTCTTATGTAAAAAAAAAATCGTAAAACTCCTACGGGATTGGGAGAAAACCGAATTGCGCGTACGAATTCGCGAGCAAAATTTAGTAGCTAGTAATTACAAGCAATGTAGTCGACTAAAAATAGTTCCGAGTTAATCGGTTTGAGGACGCAAACAAAATAAACCAGCATTCCCAATAATAAATAATTTAACCGTGAATTATAACCGATACAAATTAATTTATTACGAGTGGCTGCAACTTTTCCGTCGATATGAAATACTTATTCCGATAGAGGATTCCCATTTTAAGTAGCTAATCGGAATTCTACTCGGAATCTGATTCCGATTAAATACCTAATCGGAATATTCCGATTAGGTCCCTAATCGGAATCCTCTATCGGATCGAATTGGATCTATATCTATTCCGTAATAATATTAACAATCGAAATCTTACAGCCTCAATCTGGCAAGTTTTTCATTCCCAAGTGGCCAGCATTCGACAACAATTTCAACAATTCAACGTAACAGTAAAGGTATACGAAATAGTCGAAATACCAATGAAAAAAGTGTGAAAAAAAAGTGGGCACGTGCGATGGCTCGTGCCCACTTTTTTTGTTGCGAACCCGGGCGACGTCAACGCTGCAAGGAGTCGCACGCACCCTACTTCGAGTGCGTTTTTATAGGTAGGTATACGAATGATTTAGTTCATCTCCACAATGCTTATAAAAACAACTGCTTATATAAAATAGGTTTTCTTCTGATTTATGTTATTACCGACTTCAAATAAAAAAAAGGAGGAGGTACTATGTTCGGCTGATTGTTTTTTGTTTTTTTTTTTGTTTGTTCGCGCAGTACTCCGCCATTTGTGAACCGATTTCGAAAATTCTTGTTTTGTTTGAAAGGGTATACTCCCGAGATGGTCCCATTTCCACGAGGTCAGGATCTGATGACGGGATCCTAGGGAAACCGAGGGGAACTTTCGAAAATTCTATGGGCGAGTAATGCGTGTATTATGTTTTTCAATTAACATTTTTAAACACTACAATTTGATAAGGGTCTGGAGTCGACCTGATGTTGGAGCCGACAGACAGTCGAAGGAACTCAGCGGTTTATATTAACTACTTTCGACTTGATTAATTTGTATTGAGGAGGACTTTACACCTAGATAGAGTGGGGCTACCATTAAGGGTCTGATGATGAAGAAGTGCAATTGTTAAAGGAACCCCTCAACTGTATACAGTAAGTACCTTGTGTTTAGGCTTGATTAATTTGTATTGATGAGGACTTTACACCTAGATAGAGTGGGGCTTTCATTAAGGGTCTGATGATGAAGAAGTGTAATTGTTAAGGGAACTCCTCAACGGTATAGGTACTGTAACTACCTTGTGTTTGGGCTTGTATAATTTGTATTGATTAGAACTTTGCACCTATGTAGATTATAAGTAACAAAACGGGTATATGTAGCTTTACACTGAAAATGATAAAATAATAAAATAAAAACTGCGTTTAAAAAACCGACATCAAAAACCCAAAAACTAACAACAAACACAAAGTCAAAACTAAAAAGCAAAAAATAACTATTATTAGTACTGATAAGTTACCCACCCACTGATAGGTTAGAAGTCGGTGCCATAAGCTCATATCATAATGATATGAGCTCGGGATTAATAGCAACCTAGGTACCAGAATATGTTATTCGTCTTCCAGCAAGCCTTTGTTTTTCGGGTAGTACAACAAAGACAATTTTTATGTGCTTAGTAGGTACCTAGCTAATTACTTCTTTATTAAAAATAATTTGGGAACTGGCTCAACTCGTAAAATTTTGTTATAGCCAACATGCATGGCATGTATAAAATGCTACTACTGTTAACAACAAATGGACGCCACGCCGCATCAAGTAAATCTTGTGCATGGCGTCGGTGGCGTCCATTTTGTTTGTGGTACAAACAGATCGGCCGAGCGACACACGATGCGTGGTGCGTCGCTCGGTCAAACATCCAACTACTATTCGATCGCCCCGCCCAATTCCAACTGCATTATGCAGCTCATTATTCAAATAAAACGTCTATGAAGCCACAATGACGTCTCAAAGTCGTGATTATCGACGTGTTAATAAGTACAGAAATAACAAAGTATGCAAGACTAACTGGTCTTGCAAGTTAGTAGTTTTAAAACACGCACATACCTTATCCTACTTTCACGCACATAATAACGCGGATGAGTTTATTTGTTTGTTTGCTTGTGAACGCGCTTATGGACGGAATTTAATGATCATTTTTATGTAGGATAGGATAGGAGTATCCGTCGATATATGGACCGCCCGAGCAGAGCGAGTTAAGCCACGCGGGGAGAGCTTGTACCTAACACATAATTAGGGTGAACTCATCTAACTTCGTGACAAAGGCATTTGAGTAATAAAATACCAATAAATTATTAATTAATTTAATTCAGTCTCCGCATGAGTTTTAATCAGTCTTTTATGAGGAATATTAGCACAAATAATCAGTTTTTTTTCTAGAGACCTAAGAGTTCTACCCAATTTACTAAACCGAATTATTAGGCGAGTCACAGAATTAGATGAGTTCACTATACTTATAATGCCCCTGACAGGCCTCGACTGGTGTACAAAGTATTAAATGGTAACAATTATTATTAAGAGTTGGACAAAGATGTAGAAGATAATTAGTAAGAGGCACGCCGCGAATAAAAACGGCGGCACTTCTAACATGTTCAAACATGATGGCAGCCAGCAAGGAAGCGGGACACGGATAACTGCTAATGGCTAGCTGCTTTTTAGATTTAGGTTTTTAGATTTCCTTAAGATCGTATGTATCAGTTAGCCGCCTAGTCGGTCTGTCAATGGACGGCGTTACGCGTGCTTCTCATGGCTGGACGCCATTTTGGCGAGACGCTGCCGCCATCAAGTTTATGCAAATTAGTAAGTTTATTTAAATGTGAATCAATCTAGTATCGTTTATATTTATTGAGTCTTGAAGTTTCACACACAGATAAATCTTGTGTTACCACAAAATGGATGTCACGCCGTGCACCGCGTGCGCCGCCACCTGGTTATCTCGAGGATGGCGTCGGCGTCCATATTGTTTGTAGTACTGACCAACGCCGAGCATAAAGTGTACCTAACTATCGCTTGACGCAGTTTCATTGTTCAATAACAATTCCAATTACGTTTAGCTGGTATGTGAACAGCCGGTGTTCTAATAGACCGCCGTGGAGGCTAACTAACATTCATGATATGTATAGGTAAATTGCTACTACTGTTAACAACAAATGGACGCCACGCCGCGTCAAGTAAATCTTGTGCATGGCGTCGGTGGCGTCCATTTTGTTTGTGGTACAAACCGATCGGCCGAGCGACACACGATGCGTGGTGCGTCGCTCGGTCCAACATCCGACTACTATTCGATCGCCCCGCCCAATTCCAACTGCATTATGCAGCTCATTATTCAAATAAAACGTTTATGAAGCCACATTGACGTTTCAAAGTCGTGATTATCGACGCGTTAATAAGTACAGAAATAACTTGTATACTTTGACTTTGACCAGTTAGTCTTACAAATTAGTAGTTTTGCCAGTTATTTAAACGTAGCTTTAAAACACGCACATACCTTATCCTAATTTCACGCACATAATAACGCGGATGAGTTTATTTGTTTGCTTGTGAACGCGCTTATCTCGGAAACTACTGGACAGAATTTAATGATCATTTTTATGTAAGCTAGGATAGGAGTATCCTTCGATAAATGGACATTTATAGGAGGCGAGCAGAGCGGGTGAAGCCACGCGGGAATAGCTGGTACCTAACACATAATTATTTATAATGCCCTTAACAGGCCTCAACTGGTGTACAAAGTATTAAATGGTAACAATTATTATTGAGAGTTGGACAAAGATGTAGAAGATAATTAGTAAGAGGCACGCCGCGAATAAAAATGGCGGCACTTCTAACATGTTCAAACATGATGGCAGCCAGCAAGGAAGCGGGACACGGATAACTGCTAATGGCTAGCTGCTTTTTAGATTTAGGTTTTCAGATTTCCTTAAGATCGTATATATCAGTTAGCCGCCTAGTCGGTCTGTCAATGGACGGCGTTACGCGTGCTTCTCATGGCTGGACGCCATTTTGGCGAGACGCTGCCGCCATCAAGTTTATGCAAATTAGTAAGTTTATTTAAATGTGAATCAATCTAGTATCGTTTATATTTATTGAGTCTTGAAGTTTCACACACAGGTAAATCTTGTGTTATCACAAAATGGATGGCACGCCGTGCACCGCGTGCGCCGCCACCTGGTTATCTCGAGGATGGCGTCGGCGTCCATATTGTTTGTAGTAGGTACTGACCAACGCCGAGCATAAAGTGTACCTAACTATCGCTTGACGCAGTTTCATTGTTCAGTAACGATTTCAATTACGTTTAGCTGGTATGTGAACAGCCGGTGTTCTAATAGACCGCCGTGGAGGCTAACTAACATGCATGATATGTATAGGTAAATTGCTACTAAGTACTGTTAACAACAAATGGACGCCACGCCGCGTCAAGTAAATCTTGTGCATGGCGTCGGTGGCGTCCATTTTGTTTGTGGTACAAACAGACCGGCCGAGCGACACACGATGCGTTGTGCGTCGCTCGCACCAACATCCCACGTCCAACTACTATTCGATCGCCCCGCCCAATTCCAACTGCATTATGCAGCTCATTATTCAAACAAAACGTTTATGAAGCCACATTGACGTTTCAAAGTCGCGATTATCGACGCGTTAATAAGTACAGAAATAACTTGTATACTTTGACTTTGACCAGTTAGTCTTGCAAGTTAGTAGTTGTGCCAGTTATTTAAACTTAGCTTGTCCTAATTTCACGCACATAGTAACGCGGATGAGTATATTTGTTTGCTTGTGAACCCGCTTATCTCCGAAACTACTGGACAGAATTTAATGATCATTTTTATGTAGGCTAGGACAGGAGTATCGGTTTAGTTCGACTAGTCGGTCCTGTTGAACGTAAATGGTCTGTCAATGGACGGCGTTACGCGTGCTTCTCATGGCTGGACGCCATTTTGGCAAGACGCTGCCGCCATCAAGTTTATGCAAATTAGTAAGTTTATTTAAATATGAATCAATCTAGTATCGTTTATATTTATTGCGTCTTGAAGTTTCACACACAGGTAAATCTTGTGTTAACTTATCACTTATCACAAAATGGATGTCACGCCGCGCACCGCGTGCGCCGCCACCGGCTTCTCGAGGATGGCGTCGGTCGGCGTCCTTATTGTTTGTAATACCGACGGACGTGAAGCATAAAATGTACCTATCGCTTGACGCAGTTTCATTGTTCAATAACTATTCCAACTACGTTTGGCTGGTATGTGAACAGCCGGTGTTCTAATAGACCGCATTGAAGGCTAACTATTCAATGTCCTACCGAAATAAATAATCTATAACTAGCGACCCGCTTCGGCTTTGCACGAGTGCAATATGCATGTATTATACATATAAACCTTCCTTAAGAATCACTCTAACTATTAATAGAAACCGCATCAAAATCCGTTGCGTAGTTTTATAGATCTAAGCGTACATAGGGACAGACAGACGGCGGATACTTAGCGACTTTGTTTAATACTATGTAGTGAACCGCGCATCTAATATTACGTACACACACAAACATTATTTTATCAACAAAATTAGTCGTAATATTAATCTCACCTTCGTCGTCAAAAACTTCTCCTCGCAGCTCCAATAGCACCCTGGCAATGAAGATCTCGTCCTCGGTGAAATTGTTGTTGATTTCCATTGTTATGTTTAGCAGAGTAGTTCTGTTCGTAGCAGTGAAGGCACGGAGAGTAATGCCAAATACCCGAGGTACTGCTATTTAAACTACCCCAACGTAGTTGGAATCGGTAAAAAAAAGGCCGGCGAAGCTATCCCTCCCCCACACAAAGAATCGCACGGGTTCGGACATGTACCTGCGAAAAGCATATTGTCTCTTTCTGCAGAAATTATCAGTAACCGTTTCCTTAAATATTGTTCCTGTATGGTAGACAATAGACTGGCTCGAAACTACGAAAGCAAATCCTATCTGTGTCATACCCAGTATTCACAATTTCTTACTAAATACCTATTTGATGATAAAAACGATAGGTATATCTATTTTAAAATATCTATATGTGAAAATGTAGACAGAAGCGTGTCATTGTGACTGCCTGAAAAATACTTACCTAATGAGCAGTTTATTTAAGCTATATACCTATGTATATAAATGAGCAGTTTATTTAAGCTAATATCCAATTAATTATCCATCAAAAAAGGTATTGATTAGCGAGATCGTATAAAGTGTATCTACTTTCTTTAATTTTTTAAGTTAGGTATTGTTTTTCAGTTCTACATAAAGTAAGCAAGGCAATTAATTAACATCGGACCATTTATCAAACTACCACCCACCATCCATCAAAAGTATAGATTGATTTTCGATTCCGAAATCGAGTTGGTCCAATTAAAGAATTTCGATTGTAGTTCCGGAATCAAAAAATATAAAACAATACTACTAAATTCGTGATTAAAATTATTTGAATCATCCTTCACTTTATGACAGTTGTGTTTTATCAATTTTCCAACTCCTTCATCAGAATCTGTTATCATAAGTTCATAACACAGTTTTCCTCAGGACAATTCTATCGAAACGAGGTTTGATGGAATTCTGTCCTTTCTTTCCTGGGTTCCTAAGAGCACCTTACAGTTTCATCATCACATCAGTCGCCTGTAACCATTAATAACAATGTAGGTACTCGATATAAAAATGAAACAATTCCAAAATTCGACTAGGTACTATATTCGTTTCATTACGAAGTTGCTATGGTCACATTCTACACATTATTCACATTCATTTTAGCTGCATCATCAGAAATACTGGGAGTCATTGCAATGACGATGAAGACAATATATTAAGAAGGGCAATCTAATTACTAGGTAGGTTTTTAATATCATCCACTTACTAGTTTTTGACAGCAACTTCGTCTGCGGTTCCATGGGATAAACAGTACCTAACCTGTGTGTTATTCCAGTTCTACCATGGTTACAAATTTCATCCAGATCCCATTAGCCATTTGAGACGTGAGAGAGGACAGCAACATACACAATTTCGCTTTGATAATCTTATACTATTATATAAAGCGGAAGAGTTTGTTTGTTTGAACGCGCTAATCTCCGTAACTACAAGTCTGATTTAAATAATTCTTTTTGTGTTGGATAGTGCATTTATCGAGGATGGCTATAGGCTATAAAACATCACGCTACGACCAATAGGAGCTAAGCAGAGCGTGTGAAACCGCCCGGAAGTAGGTAGTATTAGTATAAAGTAGTATTCCTCTGAATTTATGCGATAATATTAACTTTTCGTACCCTCAATTTGAGAATTTGGGGCTGACAGTCAGTACTATACCTTCATCTTATTTTTCCTTATCATCGTATCATACCTCATCGCCTAAATGCCGTTGTCTTTCATATCATTCCTAATACTGTCTAATGTCTATCTAATTAATATCTATAATACATTCACAGCATATAAGTTATTGGGAACTTCTATATTCAGCAGAAGGCTTCTTATGAATCATATTACGAACATCGCCGCATCGAATATGAACCTATATTCATCAGAAGATTTTTATGAATCATATTATACGAACATAGCGCAACAAATATAAAAAAAATCAAATTGCTTCAACCACTTATAGACGACAAACTTGGTTAATATTTCAGTGTTTTATAAGAAATATATTTGAAATTTAATAATATTTACTTATTTAAGCGTAATTCGTATACAGAACTCGTAAAATAAAACCAGGGACCCTGAATATTTCCAACTCCTGCGTTTGGTTTGGTATTTGGTAGAAAGGAACAGAGCTATTTGTATTTCTATTGGAAAAAAAATATGTACTAGTGTAAGTAATATTGTTGTTACTCTGACACTGACACACACATCTACATAGGAAGGGACGTTTGAAACAATAAGGCGAGCGAGCATTGTCCAGATTTTTACCTGAACTGAGCATCGACCATTACATTTAGACTAAAATGGGACTAAAATTTTTAAATTGAAAAATATTGAAAATTATTTTTTTTATTACCATATCACGTTTTAACTTTAAACTGAAGCAACAGAACAGACAGTAATTGTATTAAATTAATTACAATTTATCTATGTATACATATAATATATAAAATTCTTGTGTCACAGTTTTCGTTGCCATACTCCTCCGAAACGGCTTGACCGTTTTCGATGAAATTTTTTGTGCTTATCCGGTATCTATGAGAATCGGCCAAAATCTAGTTTTCATCCCCCTAAATGTTAGGGGTAGTCCACCCCTAAATTTTTTTCGAGATTGTGCGTACGAAGTCGCGGGCAGAAGCTAGTACATGTAATAAAATCGTAGGAAAATGAAAACTGTAAATTTAATATATTTTTTAAAAGAAAGCTCGTGATCTACAGTCGATATCGAAGCCAAAAATATGGTTTTCATAATTTTTGTCTGTTTGTCTGTATGTAGGTACTTATGTCCGGGCTATACTCAAAAAGTACTGTATGCATTTACTTCAAATTTTGCATGGATATTGTTAACAGGTTGGTACAACATATAGGCTACATATTATCACGCTATTACCTACGGGGGACGAGCTGTGAATCACTTATTCTACGCGGACGAAGTCGCAGGCACAGCTAGTTTTACATAAATACGCTTACGTCTACAGGGTAATGCATAATGACATCCAAAACACTTGCTATCCCTTTCTAACATAGGTACTTACTTATATGCAACGCTTTGCTACGTGTTTCTTATTCTTTCGGACACTATTGAATAGTACATAGTTGGACTTGTCATCGGATTATGTAGTTTTTGTAAGGGTACACACATACATAGACACTTACTAAACATTGATAGATCTTGCACTCGTGGCCGTGCTCTCGTTTTTTTTTAATTTTTTTTTATTATTGGTGGTCCGACGTTTGACCACCATCTCGCTTTGTTATGTTACGTTTTGTTAAGCGTTATACAGTAATTACCTACATTGTTTTGCATAGAATAAGAATAAGAACGTTTATTTGCACGGAGCGTCGTTATTACAGATGATAGTAATAGGGTAGATGCATAATTTTTATTTTAATGTTCGCGTGGTAGATTATTTTATATTCCAACTAGAATAACATGTATTTTTCTCTAATCTCTCATTTATTAACATTTAACATGTTCATTTGAGTGACTTAAAATATTGCACTAACATTATACTTTCATTGTTAGAAACTCATCTGCCGCGGAGAACCTAACGGGTTACCGGGGCTCCGGCTCGAAGTGCAGGAGTAGGAACGGGGTGGTTTTTAATCCGTAAGAGTCTGACACTCCCTCCCGCCTCACCCAGGCGGGAGAAGACATTCGATGATTTTCCCCAATTAAAAAAATACAACAAAAGGTGTAGAAGCAGCTGTTAATTAGAATTTTATTTAATCTTAGATTTATTTATTCTTGTTCTAGTTTCTCTTCTATGTTTTGGTATTTTGTTAAATATTTTGATTGATGTTATATATATTTTTTTGGCGTAGCGTGCTTCTACGTCTTATTTTACAGCAATTCGTGTTAGATCTCTGGAGGAAATTTTCTTATGATCTACCTTGTTATAACTATAGTTCGGAATGTTTCTTTACAAATATTGCTATTTCCAATATGTTCAGTGAAGTTAATTTTTTAAATAATGGTCTACATGATTTCGGAAAATCACGCCACAAATATTCATAATCTGAATTGTAGTCAATAACTAATTATTAATGATCTCAATGTTACTCTATTAGATTTGAAACAGCAACAAGTTAAAACTATGCGATGGATTTTGTGGCAATGGGACGATGGTTGCCTGACCCATTCTCTTTGTTTGCACCTATAATATCTAGGTATAAGTATTTTTTTTTGGGCATGTGTAAAAATAATAATGCACTCTTTTTACGATAGTACCTACTGGTACCTACAAAGGATAGGTACACGAAAAGAGACAAATGTAAGATAGAATGTGAGACGCAAATTTTACAAATGTTTGAAGTTCTTTGTTCTAACAGAGTGCATTCTCCTGAACTCCATATTCTGAATCAATACCTCTTTCATCTGAAATTTCTTCAGGATAATTTTAATTCGATAACGTTCTACTAGTTTTTTCCATGCAAAACATGCACATGGGAAACAATCTGTTTGTCATTAAAATGCATGTAAAAAAATAACAATGGATTTGGAATTATCCCAGCGGACGACGCCGACGCCATTTTATTCTGCGTCGACGCATAAAAGCTTTGTGACGGTGTGACAGGGATGGACCAGGCGACGGGACGCACCGAGTAGCCTAAACGTTGCACCGCTACCTTAGACAAAAGAAAACGATCGACTACATTTTGCGTTTTACCCAAAAACTATTATAATTATTGCGTGTACTAAAGTAAATCAAACTCACTCGGCTTGGGTGTCCACAGATTACATGAGATATTTAACAGGGGAAATGTCATGCAATATTTTATCTGATTGAAACAAAAAAATGTATTTTGGTCCATTATCCTTATTATGAACAATGCTTTTGATGGAATGTCAAACGAAGTTGAAGGATAAGACGATTTCACTGAAAATCATAATATGGACACGTTGGTGCCAATAATAGGTATGTCTTGAGACTGAATTAGAATATATGTATATTATTTTTCCAATCGGAGTAGTCATGATAGGTATTATATTGTCTGGCTACCAGCATCGTAGCTAAACCAAGTCT